ACTTGCATGTATCCATGCCTGTTGCTCAAGGTTCTAGTGCAGTGGACTACAGCTGTGCGCCTGTAGCAAAAGAGACACCTGAGTGCCTGTGTTCCTGTACGCCTAGCGAGGGGGATACACGTCCAGGTTACATCTCAAGAGGGGGGGCCCCAGAACGGACAGCGCACAACCATATATATATATATATATATATGTATATGTATATGCCACCCCCCTCAAGGATCTACCGTTTTCGTGTGTTTGAAAGCCGGATGCGAAATAGAGGATATTCTATAGCGTATTCCGTTCTCTTTGAAAAACCATCAGTAAATAAGCTTCGGTGTGATCAGGGATTTTGCAGGTTCTAGGTTCTGCATTTCCTTCAAATACACCCCTGAGTTTTCCCACACGACATGCATTCGCGTACGACTTCTTCTCGTGTTGCAAAAGAACGCAAGCATGCATGTATGTTCTGTGTGCGTATACGTAAACAGGGTTTTACATGCAGCAGCATGGGCTCTGAAGGTAACACGCAACAGGAAAGCAGAGACATGACATCTCGTATCGCATAGTATCACGGAAAGTTTAGATATGAAAACAGGAACCTATTTTTGCAACCCCCACATATAAGAGATAATTGATGTCCATGAACGCGAAATCTATCGACATTTCCGGGGTGCAATACCTTGTATTCAACCAAATAGAAGACGTTTTGAAGTATATTTTGGAATACATTGCATAATTCCACTCTCACAACTTATAATATATAGGTACATGGATGTATACATATATATATACACGTATACTATGGAAATCCATTTGGAATATCCTCTCGAATTTCTTATACAGGACCACCTATATATGACACACCCCACGCGCGTTATAGTACATGTACCTTACTGGACAGGCTATACAATACACTATATAGAATACTGTGCAGGATATCCTTTGGAATACCTCCTCTATGCATCTTAAAACTTTCGTGTAGAATACACGGATATAGAATACCCTCATGCCTTATTGTTTACCTTAGTGCCTTTAAACTACCTTATCCTCTACTTTCAGGCATACCCCGTATATCTATAGAATACCCAGAATACCTTATAGAACACCACATAAAGTACCCCACAAAATACCTTATCGAACACATAGCACCCTCCATATGTCGTGCGCTTCATGGAAGACCATCTGGTATAGAAGACCTTATAGAATGCCCCAATGCCCCTATATATGATGCAGGGCTGCCACACCCCCCCTCCCCCCCCCACCCCATGGTATCCTTCCCCCTTCCCCCCCGCCCCCCCTGTGGTGTGGGGCCTGTGGTGGTACTCTTTTTGCCGCGACGTTCTTATGTGTTACTCCTTGTCTTCCCTCTTGCTGTGGCACCGGTGATACTGCTCAAGATGTTGTGCTGCTCTAGACCGGGACATGAGTCGACAATCAGACCATGCTCAACATCATCCTTGTCGTCGTCATCTTCATCATTAATACCTTCAAAAGAATATCTGCCACCATCACCATCGCCATACAACCCTCATAATTCAGCATTGCAATTCATGTCAGATGCTGGAAACTACTGAGCCGATTGCCGCTTTCCGCACCAGGGCATAGTGCGACTCCCCCCCCCTGTGGAACAGCATGGTTTGCCTTTTTTATTTCCCCCCCCTGTGGAACAGGATGGTTTGCCCTATGTCCCCCGCCCCTGTGGAACAGGATGGTTCTCCCTTTTACTCTGAGACACGTACACACACACACAGCGTGTCTGTGTATGTATGGCATTCTCCGCACATGCTCTACTGCTAAGCCTCCGTTCCATTCTTTGGTGTGCGGTATTCTGCTGCTGCGAAATGCGAACTTCCTCTCCGGTTTTCCAACAGTGCGGGCCAGGGAGGAAGTAGAACCCCTGTGGAACGGGATGGTTTTCCCTTTTGCCATACACACACACCATGTCTTTCTGAATGTAGCTTGTTTACTACTTACTACCCTTTGGAACACCAATAATAATCTAACGAAGTATTGCCTGGAGCCCTTTAACTGCACGAATAATCTGAAGTATTGCCTAGAACCCCTTAACTACACAAGTAATCTGACGAAGTATTGCCTAGAACCCTTTAAATGCACGAATAATCTGAAGTATTGCCTAGAACCCCTTAACTACACGAGTAATCTGACGAAGTATTGCCTAGAACCCCTTTGCTACGACTTTTACATTAGAACCTTGCTTAGAGGCCCTCGGTACGTGAATAATGTTACAAAGTATTGCCTGGAACCCTCTTCTAAGGAATTTTACATGGCCTCGCTTTCAAATTTTGGGACACGAGTAACCTTGCTGAGTGTTGCCTAGAACATTTTGCTTACTGCTCACAGGAAGCCCTTCTTGGAGGCCTTCGAAGTAGGAAAACAATTATTCAGTTTAATTGCTTCGAAACCCTATCTTTACTGTGGAAATTACGCGGGTGCGTCGCGGGCGGGCCAAGCCGGGTGCAATACGCGGTGCGGCGCGCCTGTAGCGGAAGTCCTCCAGGCCTCCAGGCTTCATGCCCTTGTAGTTGGGGGGGATACCATGGGGGGGGTGGGGAGGGGGGGGGGCCGAGAACGCACAGCGCACAACCATATATGGTAGTCCTTGTAGTTGTATACAGTATATGTACCCTGAGCCCGCATAATACCTATAGATAACCGTTCAATATAAGATATATATGAAGACAATCAGGACAAGCCCAGGATCCGAGAACCTTTCTCATCGGGCAAAGGATGTTTAGGAGCGATCCAGGAATCGAAGAAAATAATCTAGAGAATACCACAAAGCTAAACGAATTTCATTAGGTGACCCCACGTAAGACATTGTTGAATATCCCCGATATACCCTATGATACCCTATGTATACCTTCTTGAGTAATCCCTTCATCTGATTCAAAAATCCCCCTTGAATATCAAGAATTCCCCGGCCGAAAACAAATCCAGTTTCGAGCCAAAAAGTTCCAAATGAGTAGATTTAAAGGCATGTTGAATTAGGGCCCAGGTAGGATCGGCATGAGGCGATTGGAACGAATCCCGGATTACCAGGCTCGGGCGCGCATTTGCGATTGGAGCGCGGACATTTTGAGCAGGAACGCGGCGTCCGAGGGAGGTCCAAACGAGTCCGGATGTGGGAATTTCAGGGTTTAGCGATCTAAATTTGGAATTCCCAGGCTAGGGCCGCATTCGGAATCGGAACGCCGGCATGGAGAATTGGATATTCGCAGGCTGGGGGCATTTTAAGCAACAGAACTTTTCGATATCCGGGGGATTATTTTGGACAGGGTGCGTTTGGGACCCTGACTGGGGAAAGCCACCTGGGTGCGGATTGGTTGCTTTTACTGACACTAGCCTCGGGACTGTAGGTGCTTTCACGCGCCCTAGCCTGGGACTTCCAGAATATCTTGCATGTTTCATTGCTGTCTCGATCCGCGCGCGTGGCGTTTTCGGAACTCCCAGGCCAATGGCTGTCTCGAAACCGGAACTCCCTGGCTAGTAGAAATCCAAACTCTCGAATTTCGGAAAATCCAGCCTGAAACCACCCGAAATACACCGAAAACAAATTCAAGGCCCAAAATATCTCTTTATATTTGGGGTGGGGGTTGTATTAAACGGATGAAAGGATTACCTTAGAGCCTATACATCACGGCATAGAATACGTTCTATAAGACAACTTCGACGTGTATGTTGATGCCTTGTACAATCCCTTATACAATGCGTTATGGAGCACCCTATAGAACGGCCGTTACATAATCCTTTATAGGCATTATAGACTATCATCTGCAGTACCCTACAAACTAACTTGCAGAATATCCCCTGTGTCTGATACTCTCTGAGCACCCAATAGAAACTCCTACAGAAAACCATATGAAATATCCTGTAAAATACCCGTAGACCTCATAGAAGATTTAACACCCTAGGCGGCCGGTGACCGATATATGATGAACTGTCCTGGTAACCTCCGAGCGCAGTTACCAGGCAAACGGGGCCAGTTCCAGGAACTGGTGCCCTAACCTTTGTTAACACTAATATTATTATTATATATATATATATATATATATATATATTAAATATATTACTATAATATATATATATAGCTATATATATATATATATATATATATATATATATATATTAGCTATATAGCTATATATATATATATATATATATATATATATATATATATATATATATATATATATATATATATATATATATATATATATATATATATATATATTCATGTATATACATATATAGCTATATATATATATACATACATATATACACGTGAAACCGCTTCTTTCGTGCTGCAACACAGGAATCGAGGCCCAACAGCTCTCGGTCGGTGGGCCCTTAAACCGAAAGTCACCCTAAACCCTAAACCACAGAACTGGAAAGAATCCGAAGATTATCCTCATCTTTCTAGGCCTCTGAACCCTGAGATCCTTATCCATAAGGCCGATGGCGACTCCGAGATCCCCTGTAAGATCCTTAACTTCAGACCCTACAGCCCAGGACACATGGCTGTGCCGCTCTCATGTCATATGCAGTACACTAGTAGTATGGCAATCGTCGCCATGAGATCGTTCGCTTGCAATGCAGCGAGCCCTGCTGTTATCCCGGAGCAGATTACGGGACCGGAAACGCAAGAGTGCACCCCCGCCCTGCTTCCTTGCATTGTGTGCATGCAGCTGTGTGCATATGCGACTGCTATGTGATCAGTCATGTGTGCAGCATGCATCTGTGTGCATATTCAACTGTTGAAAGTTGGTCATGTCTTGCTGTGTTTAAAGCAGCATTTTTTAGCAGATCGGAGCCCGGAAGGGGTTTCGGCATGGCGGCTTCTGCGAACTCGGGTGCTGTGGTAGCAGCTGCTGATGATGAGTTAGGAGAGACTCCTAATCTTCAGGATGAGGAGTTGCTCAACTGGTACTCTAGCAAGATCCCATGTGTCAATCTGCTTTATAAATTTGATCGTGAAGCCTCGAGCCTCGAGGTTGATGTTGCTCAAGGATATCTTGGACGACTTTGTTCGAACCAAGCCTGAAGGAAAGAAGCACACACGTGCTGGAGAAGCCAGGCGAAAGGAAGCGATTGGCCAGCAACAGGAGTGTAGATGTACATCCACACACAGACACATGCAATGTGTTTTCTCTTTTAATCAGCATCTGAGGGGCATGAGTTCTTCGAGCCCTTCCAATTCATTTCAGATGCTGCTGTGGAAGCGGCTTTCGATGTGATCGCCGGGCTTCTTGCTTCCTTTGGATGCACTCAGCCAAATATGGCAAAATACAAGGTATCTTGTTCTGCTCTAGAGTGTTTCGGACCCGATAGAGGTGTTTAACCTGTAGCTATAGCATGCACAGCCCAGGCAGCTTTTGAATGGGTTCTGGAGGAACACGATATTATGGGGAAAGATGTGCTGAAGAAGGAGACGCAGGCCGGCTGATTGACCGGAAGAAGATTTTCTTGTGCAGCTGGCTTGCAGATGTGGGTGGACTATCACGCCGGGACTTTGCGGGCCCGTGTGATCTACTTGATCCGGCTCTACCGGAAAACGCCGGACCGGTCGAAGATTCTTTTCGGCACATATATGCATGGTCTATACATGTGTTTATATGAGTGTGTGTGTGGTCCTGCCCGGTTTGATTCGTTTGGTGAGGTCGCCGAAGATACAAACACTCAAGGACATCCTCGCTGCTCTCGAAGCGCCGGCTGCAACTGCTGTGGATGCTTCGGCCGTGGATGGGGGCCAAGCGGCCCCAGTAGAGGATTCGGCCGAGGATGGGGAGGCCATGGTAGATGATCCGACCGAGGAAGGGGGCCAAGAGGGCTCAGTAGAGGATTCGGCCAAGGATGGGGAGGCCATGGTGGAGGATCCGACCGAGGAAGGGGGCCAAGAGGCCTCGGTAGAGGATTCGCAGGCCATGGTGGAGGATCCGACCGAGGAAGGCGGCCAGCAGGAGATCGAGGCGAGGATGTGTTAGTCGGGTATTTGATCGAGTATGTGCTGGATTGTTCTGTCATTGAGGGTCTTTTCGCATTGTACGTGTTGCAACTGCTAAGACATGACAGGTAGTGGACCCGAAGGCCTATCCGGCAGTGCCTCCTTTCCAGGACACACATCTTTCGATGCATGCTTCATCATATATACTGAAACGATTTTTTTTGCAGGACCCGCTTGGAGATGCCTGCCACGAGACCCCGATGGTGCAGCAGCAGCACAATTATTCGTTGTGGGTTTGTGTGTATAATGCACCTTGAATATCTCGTTGTCCCTCGAAGGAAGAAGACATCCCATTCACGCAGCCCGACCCACCGTCAGCAGAGAAGCAGAAACCCGTGCATAAGGACAGCCGATGAGTTTGTGAGTGTGTGTGTGTGTGTGTGTGTGTGTGTACGTCACAATCTAATATTAATATAACGAGGATACCGGTGACCTCAAGCACGACTCGCACGGGGATCGCACCAGTGACAAGGACTTTCTAGAGGGATCACACCAGCACTTGTCAGTATGGGTCATATATGCATAGGTTCCCTTGTGTGCAGGATCGCAAGCCCCTGGTGACCGAAGCTCCGACCTGGGATTCCTCCCAAGCTGAGAAGCTTCTTGAGGATGCAGCAGCTGGGTGCACAGATGCTTTGCCCGAGCTGCAGTCGAAACTGCTCTCCAGCTGACTATTTGGCTGTGGCAAAGCATGTCCCATTTCTTGGAGTGTGCATGTTTAATTATCCGAGGCGATCAGCTGCCAAAGCGAAGGCGGCTCCTGACACGGACAAGCCAGGCCGTGGCGGACGTGGCCGTGGCCGTGGCCGTGGAAGGAACACGGTTGCAATTGAATTGATCAATTCATTATGTGTGTCGTGAGCATCAATCACACAGGAGTGGAGCTGCCATGAAGCGGCCTGCGGCTGCAGCTCTGAAGCGAAAGGCCGAAGAGCCTTTGGAGGAAGTTGATCCAGATGAGGTGAAAGAGGTCGATGGCGACAACGACGGCCCAGGACAGGAGGCCGATGAAGGACAGAAGCCGAAAAAACGATCAACCAGGACGCCGGAGGAGCGGGAGGTCTTGAAGAGCCTCCCGGAACTCGAGAACTATCGAGTGCTTCAGCTTGCAATATCACATGTACAAATCGCGATCGGGTAGCCAGGATGATGTTACGGATTGATCATTGCTACAACAGCTCATGATGTTGAGGTGATGCCCTATTGGACCCGACCGTTCGAGTGCGGTGTCGTTCGCAAGCCCACAGCAACGAAGCCAAAGAAGCAGGCAGGATGTTCATGCAGGTCAGTTTGTGATGTGTGTCGTGTTGTCGGCTTTGTGTCGCAGGTGCTGTTCATCACTGGCAAGCACACGGGCCTCCCAATCACATGGAAGGAGATCGTTCAACCTTGCATAAAGGCTGTTTCTTGCCTGCCTTTGTATGGTGAATCCTGTGGTGTCAATGAGAGTATGTCGTGCTGTCCAGAACCCGCATGCTGTGAGGCTTTGTCTTTGGAGGCAGGCAAGGACTTGTCGGTCGTGGAAGATGCCTTCGAGAAGGAGAAAGAGTGCTTGATGAAGTTGACGGCCCAGCGCCGGGCCGAACTGGCTGTGAAGTGATCTGCTGCAGAATGGTGTGGAGGATGTAGGATGGTCCTGATTGGTTCGGTTCCTGACTACTGCACTCTAGAAGCTAGCGAGCACTCCAAAGAATGATCAGGAGGGGTCCATTCAGGATCTGGTTTTGGCCTCGTGGAAATGATCACATGGTGATCGCTTGCCCGAACACATGAATATGCCATGCTGTTCATTTTGGGCTTCGGCTGTGCCGCTGGCTGGTGCATTTATACGAGAATGGCAGCAAGGTCCAAAAGATTCTGCAGTCTGCATGCTGTCGTATGTACACCATGGAAGAGGCATGCTACATGTTGCATGCTTGGTTCGTGCATGTGGCTGCTTCGTTCGATCGAGATAGCAGCTGCTCAAGTAAACCTTTCAGTGAGCAGCACCTCGACTAGCACCCCAGCCAATCCCGACTTTCGGAGGTTTTCGGTCTTCGGTGGGAACAGTTATAAACGGCTAAGCACCCCCATAAGCCTCAATCCCTAAACTGTCGACGTCTATGTCGTGGAAAAACATCCGAGGCCACGTGATGTGGCGCTTTTTCTCTTCGATTCGCCTCGCTGCGGTCTGCACCGCCTACCAGCTGTACCCTGGAACACGTGCCGTGGCATTCAAGAGGGAAGCCTGGTCGTTATTTGTGGTACCAGTACCACTACTGTACTATATTATAAATAGATCAGATATTGGTACGAGTATGTACGAGTACTACTACTAGTATGAACTCGTACTACTTTTTCTACTACTACTACTACTACTACTACTACTACTACTACTACTACTACTACTACTACTACTACTACTACTACTACTACTACTACTACTACTACTACTACTACTACTACTACTACTACTACTACTACTACTACTACGACTACTACTACTACTACTACTACTACTACTACTACTACTACTACTACTACTACTACTACTACTACTAGTACTGCTAGTACTAGAGTGCTACGGTTGATGATATAAATCCTAGACATATTATTACCCAGAATTCAATAAGGAATTCGAATATACCATAGATTTAGGGTCATCAAGGTATAGTGCAGAATTTATATGAATACTGGATCTGATTTCTTACTACTAAGAATATACTACTACTACTACTACTACTACTACTACTACTACTACTACTACTACTACTACTACTACTACTACTACTGTACTACTACTACTACTATTACTTCTACTACTACTACTCCTACGACTACTACTATATATATTAGAACTACTAGCCTAGGAGTACTGCTACTGCTGCTGCTACTGCTGCTAGTGGTGCTGCCTACTGCCTATACCCTTAAGCTCCCCACAACTCCAGGCCGACGACCTAGAGGCAGCAAAGTCTTGTCATAATCCCGAAGCACGGCAGCACTGTACATGTGAAAGTACGTACTGGTGTACTAGCCACTATGTCATGTACTTGTAGCCGACAAGTAGCAGTCGCAAGAGCAGTGCTAACTCACAAGCATCCGATCCTCCAGTTCCTTCGAGACTTTATCGGGTTTGGGAATTGGGAATCGAGGCTCAGGGGTTTAAGTTCGGGGTAGTCGGGCTGCTTGCACTTAGGACGAGTTCACCATCTTCTCGAAGCTTCTGGATGCCGGGCTGCTCGCCACAAGACACAGGAGGTCTGTAAGGTTATTGGACTTTAATCTAATTAGGGCTTTGAAGTTTTGGGATTTAGTGTTTTAGGGGTATAGGGTTGAGGGGCTAAGGGGTTTTTTTGGGGGGTTAGGGCCAACGATTAGGAGTTTTGGAGTTTTGGGTTTAGGGCTCAGGGTTTAAGGCGGTCGGGTTGAGAAGTCGCCGGACTTCAGGCACAGTGGGCTACCCGGATTAATGGGTTGAGTCGCAGGTTAAGCTCGAGGTCTGTGGCTTTTCTTTTTCACTCGAGTGTTTCAATTTGGTAGCGCTTAGGGCTTGGTGATTTGGGGGTAACGGGTGTTGTACAACATGAACTATGGACCTGGGGTTTGGTTTCGATTGGTTCTGAATATATAAGCGACATTCCTAGATCCGGGCAACCCGCACGAAAGCTGGAGCTGCTCACGCCACAGCCAACCACAACAGCCTGATCCGGAGTTTCATGATTTTGAACTTTTCTCCCAGTACGACATCTTAACTGCCACACTACAACCCCGCTGAAAGCACGGATTCCAGCCCTACAGCCGTGTACATCATCCCGAGCCTAGCTATTGACTTGGCCACCCAGGTTATTTCTTCTGCTGCTGTATGGACGACCACTGCCGGTACGTGTGATCCTGCCGTTGATAGCTGTGCAAAGTGCTGAATGGGGATCCCATAGGGCAAGAGTATTGATACTAATTATACGTCGATTCCTAAACTGGAGGCATTGGTCGCAGGTTTCGGGATTTCCACGACAGTCGGTGGATGATGTGCGGGCAAAGAGTTACCATAAAATCCTTGCAGTTGCTGCCGCCTACATGTGCCAATGCATTGATCTCTGATATGCTTAAAGCCCGGTTGCGACTTCAACCTCGTTTCCGGACACAGCTTTTGGGCTTTTCACGAGATCTTTCGGAGCCCCGTGTGGCCGCTCCTAGCAGCTTGCCTTGGTAATAATATGGTCTGGGAACCCCTAAACCCTAAAACCCCCAGCCCCCTAAACCCTAAAACCTAAGCCTTCGCACACCCTTTCCGGTTTTTGCTGTCATGATCACGTAGGAGTGAACCCAGATCTGAACCCGTAGTAGTTCAATATGTATTGCCCCCACCCTGTAATAGTGGTATAATAGGAATATAATAGGGCCCTACTATAACATTAATATAATCCTTATGGTCACTATTACAGGGTGGGGGCAGCTTCTAACATATACCTCAAAATCCATACCTCATCCCAGGCGGCTTGTGCCCGTGCTGCCTTCGATCAGATCGGAGTTGCCAGCCTGCCGGGCAGCTTGTCGGTTAAAGCTCGGGGTTATAGGATTAATTTTGCGATTATTACATATTATAAGCATAGACCCCAAACCCAAATTATACAGCTATGGTGTTGGGGTGTGGGCATTCCAGGCCTTGTAGTCCAGAAATCAAAGTATTAAGACTAGGCTTCGGGTGCTATCCCCAAAACCCATACAGAGTGTATAACTTCTAAGGTTTCGGAATGGACTTGGGGTGTCGAAACCCAAACCGGGAAGGGGCGAGCCCTGAACCTGTCTTGCAAACCGAGTGCGAGTAGGTGTACGTCATGAAGCAATCTCGATCATGTGCTCAAACTTGATTTAAACAGTAAATACCGAAACGGTAAATTTATTAGATTGGGAAGAGACTTAGGGCGCTGAACCCCCAAGAGGCTGGGGCTTAAGGCCGAACTGTGAACCCGAGTGCGAGGGCTAATAGGCTTGGAAAAGGCTTTGGGTACTAAGTCCGAAAAGTGCACTGGTTGGGGCTTATTTCTATAAATATTATTATATAGTTATATTATTAGTGTGTCTACATATCTATATGATATAATCATATCGTATATACGAAATACTAAGATATAGTGGCCCCGGATGGACTTAGTGCTGGGATATACTTCGACCACTAAACCGCCAACCCCTTAACACCTGAATCCAAACAAGCTTATAACCACCCAAACCACAAACCCCTACATATTCCAAGCCGCCCAGAACCCCTAGCAATCAACCCCTAAACCCCATACCCCTAAACCCCAAAACCCTTCAAGTGGAAGCAGTACTGACATGGGAAGTTAGTTTAGGGATTTAGGTGCTTAGGTTTGCGAAGTTTTGGCATTCTAGTTATGCGGTTTTGGGGATTAGGGGTTCTGGGGTTTAGGAGGTATTTAGGGGTTTAGGTTTTCTTGGGTTGGTGGGGTTCCGTGAGTAATTAAGGGGTTTAGGTGTACAATGGGTTTAGGGATTTTGGGGTTGAAGGTTTCGGGGTTTGGGGCCTTAGGGGTTTTGGCTCAAGAGTGCTGTGGCCAACACAAGAGATCGAAATCGCCACAGTCTCATCGACCGTTTGAAGCCAGTAGAACCAGTCCTCCCATCTTGGCTTGGGCATGACCTCGGTCGCATTCGGAGTCAATGGCTCCGAGGACTATCGGGCGACACGGTCCGCCGAAGCTTCGGTTTTGGTGGCATCCCCACTGTGATAGCGGTTCTTTATCCGCATAGTCCAGCTGGTCATGGCACTCCATTCGTAACGCCGGGGAGCAATTCCTGGCATATACAGCAAGGTCTGCACGATAGGCCAGTTCCGTGTCTCGATGGCCGATGGCCAGACAAAAAAAAAGAGGGTTTGTTTGGGCCCCGGTGTATTAGTGCAATGTGCTTAGTCACAACATCCCAAGAAGCTCAGTTTTCGGAATGTAGTAATTGGCTCGGGATGTAGGATTGTAGGTTGTAGGTAGCGAGGTTTCCAGCTAGCGCCAAAATCGCGAATTACATACTCAAATGCCTGAACCGGAAAGCACAGGGGTGGGTTCTTAGGCCGGGTCCGTTCTCGAAGGCCTTTAACCCAAAGTCTATACAGGTCTTATCCTAATCCCTACCAAGCCCTACGGCCTACACTAAGGCCTTATAAATTCATATTATACTACATACTAAAGCTCCGCCTAAACCTTAGCCTCGTCGCCTCGGAGACTCGCTTCTGGCAGATGCAGGGACCTGCGACACTTATAGGAGTTGGGGTTGTTAGCTAATCATTATACTATTTAAGATTTATATAAGGGTGTATAGAGTTTTAATTTAGGCGGACAGGGTAGGAGCTTATTTGTAAGTTTGTAATATGCGGATTGACCACGAAAAGTCGTCGTCCTTAAGCTTGCTACATAGACCCCCGAGGCCCTCCAAAACCCACGAAACTCCTGTGAACCCTGTGAAGGCCTGGAAGCTTCTAATAAGTGCAACTCACTAAACACAGTCAAGGCTGAAGACCCTACAAACCCAAACATGTAACAAGCTCTCCCAACTCAAGCGACAGCTGGGCCCTTGAACCTTAAACCCGTAAACCCCGCAGCGATAAACCCCGGAACCCCAAACCCCTAAACCCAATTACTCCCACACCCTGAACCCATAAACCCTTAACACTAAACCCTTAAAAGCCGTAAACAAAAACCCCTTTCCAGGAACAACTTGGCCGACCGACCGGCTGCGAGACACCCGCAACACGGCTGGAAATCGAGAGCTGTGCGGCAAAAGCCCCAAAGCCCGGTTACTAGAAAAGCCAAGTCCTAACTTCAGTTTGCCTGAACTTTATGGTAGAAATACGAGGCCTAGGATTGCTGGCTTTCCTTTACGAAAACCCAAATCCCATGCCATGTGGCAGCCAACTAAGTATGTCATGATAACCCAAAGCAATCGATCTAATGAAACCAGAAAGCTAGAAAGGTGGACGGGGCGAAGCCAAGAACATCGGCTTGTCAGTCATTAGAGTGCAGGATGCTCGGGCGAGGCGATAAAAGGCGATACAAATAAGCTATAGTAGGCACCCATAATTATTAGACCAATAGCCTGGGGTGGGTGGGGTGCGGGTGATGGCCGGTGAGCTGGGTTGCCGGCAATGCCTTGCCACTTGCTGTGTACATGTGGTGATGCACGGTCCTTCTCAAGACCTGCTCCGTGCTGGCGGATTCCAGGATCCCTCCACACAGCATCTTGACGAGTGTGGTGGGCTGTCTCGCTTGTCCGACCAGAGCCCACTAGGTCAATCGTCTGGCTCCAAAAGCGAGTCTTGCAAGTGAGCCGTGAGGACCGATCGATCGGGGTCGATGCTCTGGATGCTCGATGTCGGTGATCACGTTTGCAAACCCCGAATATGAACATTTACAGAATATATGCACATCATGTGATCAGGCTTAGAGTTTGGGCTGTATAGGGTTTTAGCCATCGAGTTTTTGAGTTTACGGTGTGGGGTGCTAAGTTAGTTGATATTGGATTTCGGGTTTAGGGTTTTCGGTTGGGTTTAATTACATAGGATCAGGGTCAGGGGTTTGAAGTTCAGGATTTTAGGTCTGGGTTTCTGCACATGTCGCCTCCAGAAGACTCCATGACCGAAACCAGCCCCGAGAGCCTCGTTGTATGCTAGATAGTTCTTGAAACGAAGCTGCTTAGTACTGGAATCGCCCACAAATCCTAGAACCCCAAACCTACAACAAACTCGCCAACCCAAGCCCAGCTTACTACCCTCGCTACAGCTTACGATCCCGTGTATATATACATATGTATATGTGTGTATATATATATATACATATTATATGTATGTCTCCCTAGGGCCCCAGTTACTATGTATATAGTATATATATATATAGATAGATAGATAGATAATAACATAATATACACAGGTATTTGTGCATTCCGACACATATTGAATCCTTATACCTATTTAATATATATATATATATAATATATATATATATATATATGATAATAGAATATTATAATATAAGAAGATCTAGCATCTAGCTACATATCTAGTATGTGTGTTCACATATGTATATATATATATATATATTATTATAACACATGATGTTTTTACGCTATTATAGTTAGATCTATATTATATATATACATATATATATATATATATATATCGACCGGTATCCAATCTATATATAATGCTGTGTCACTATCTATCTATCCATCTATCTATCTGATAGATAGATGGATAGATAGATAGTGACACAGCATTATAATCTATATCTTCGAACTCAAATAATCTATATATGTACATATATGTACATGATTTATGTTTTTATGTGTGTATATACCACAAACCCCAGCCTAAACCCCAAGCTATAAGTCCGAAACCCGATAAAACATCAGCCCAACCCTTGAAACCTTGTGCCTCCGAGGAGATTTTGGGCTCACCGCTCGCCTGCAGAGCAGAAGAAGCCGTTGCAGGAGCACGTTTGCGGCTTTTTCGGGGTTTTAGTGGGTTGCTAGGGCTGGGTCGAGGCCCAATTCGGGCTTGGGTGCTGTGCGCCAGGGATAGGGTGGCTGGGCGGGGCAAGCTAGGAACCGTAACGAGGGGCCTCGGAACCGTAACGAAGGGCCTCGGAACCGTAACAGAGGGCTTGGAACCGTAAAAGAGCCCTTGGAACCGTAACGCCCCAAATCCGGGTTCCTGCGCTGGAACTGACGCAGGACATGAAACGTGGAAATGGAGCCAATTGCACGGCATCCGGGGCCGATGTGTCCCAGTTCCTTGCAAAGGCCAAAGCTAGGGCGTCTTGGTGAAGAGTTTGGCACCCGCCATTAGAGAAGCACCTGCCCCACCTTCTGCATCTGCGAAGTCGAGTCTCGGTATGTCATTATTTCGACCATGAAGCAAGAAATCATCGAAGCCACAAGCCTCTAGAGCCCTAGAAGTGTTAATTCCGCCCAGGACCCCGATCAAGAGCCCTGACATGAAGAAGATTCGCACGGCAGCAGATAGTGCCACTACGAGACGGGTGTCAACGAAGTCCACCCCGCCTGTTCCGAAGGCGGTTGCCAAGAAGCCGGACTCCTGCCAGGCAGCAGAGTCGTGCCTCTCTTCAATTAAAAATATCTCGTGGCCACAACTTCTAGTTTGATCCAACCCTCAACTCTTAAGTAACCTAGGGCTCCAGTTACCTCAATAGTGGGTTACTAACCACATATATTATGTACCCCGTAACCTACTATTTAGGTAACTGGAGCCCTAGGGTAATTATATGGTATATCATTATATAATAACAACCTCCCTACACCCTATTACTCCTATACATATGCATATATGCATATGCATCGAATATATGCCCAATTCCTTCCTTGGCTGATCACCCTACTCCCTAGAACCCTAATCAAATCAGCAGATTGATGGAGTTGAGTCCCAGGACTCAGGATGTGGCTACCGCTGCTACCCCTGCTCCCGCTTCTACGCCAGCACCGGTTCGCAGGAGCAGCCAATCTGAATTTCATACCGACCCCTAAACCCCGAATAAGATAGCATATCATGGTGCTAACAACATGCATGGAATGCATGTACTGTAGTGTGTATATACACATGTACACACATGATCTAGGCATTAGTATGTATATGTACATATTTACATACAAATTAAATATGTAACCCTTGAGGCTTAGTGCCTGTATTTTCCAATAATATACAATGTACTATAGTACAATTGCAATAGTAGTATGTATATATGGGCTCCAGTTACCGAAATAGTGGGTTACTAACCATATATTATATTCCCCATAAATAGCCTACTATTTAGGTAACTGGATATATATAATATATATATATACACATGTACATATATATATATATACATGTACATATATATATATATACACATATGTATATATATATATATATATATATATATATATATATTATATGCGATCGAGGCTGGAGTGCAGCCGACACCGGGAGCCAAGTGGTGTCGGAGTCGCCAATGTCAATGACTCCTCTGGGCCCCAAGCAGCTGGCCCAGGAGTTTGGGACACCTGGCGCCGCCATGTCAGTGGATCCTACCCCGGAGAGGGTGCAGGATGATTGGTGGTGCGATGGGTCCTGGCATCGGGGCTGGGATCATGGTTGGTATGGCTACACCCCAATGTCCTGGAACGGCTGGTGGGCTGGCCGGGGCTGGGATGACGACGACTCTTGGAGTGCAACTTCGTGGCAAAGCTCCTCTACGGACACGTGCCGCTGGGAAAGGAAGGATCCAAGCATGCATCGGATGACGAACCACCTCCAGTCAGACAAGAGTCTGAGTCGAGATTCCTTGGAAGTTCTGCTCGAAAAGGCCTACGAGGGTTTCTCGGATGAGAGTGATCCCGATGTGGGCCCTCCGTCTGAGGGCAAGGAGTCGCGAGGCTCCTTGAAAAGCCTCGATTCGGCAACCACCCTGGAACTGGGAAGCATGAGCAGGGAAAGCTTGGAGGATGAGGTCGCGGACACTTTGGTGGACAAAGGGATTGAGCTTGACGATGGCTCGGCCGACAAGCTCCCCAAGATCACAGTTCAGGAGGACGGCCGGGCTCTGCCGAGCACGGTTCAGGAGGGCGAGAAGCAAGTCCCGCAGAACACGGTTCAGGTCGAAGCCGAGAAGCAAGTCCCGCAGAGCACGGTTCAGGAAGCCGAGAAGCAAGTCCCGCAGAGCACGGTTCAGGAAGCCGAGAAGCAAGTCCCACAGAGCACGGTTCAGGAAGCGGAGAAGCAAGTCCAGCCGCAGAGCACGGTTCAGGAAGCGGAGAAGCAAGTCCAGCCGCAGAGCACGGTTCAGGAAGCCGAGAAGCAACTCCAGCCGCAAAACACGGTTCAGGTGCCCGAGAAGCAAGTCCAGCCGCAGAGCACGGTTCAGGATCCCGAGAAGCAAGTCCAGCCGCAGAGCACGGTTCAGGTGCCCGAGAAGCAAGTCCAGCCGCAGAGCGGTGCAGACACGGCTGCTGGAGGCGGACAGATGGTCAAGCAAGAGCCGGAGTCCGACGATTGGCGAAGGGACAAGTACGGGAAGTTGCTAGGTCCAGCTGCTCTCTATGCCCGATTCTATCGCACTGGGAGGAGCCTGGTTCTCAGGAATGCTTCGTTCGGTATCAAGGGTCTAGGATTCTTTAGCTATGTATGAACATATCGATTACACAACCCAAGGCCCCAAATCGCCGCCGGAAGTTCGGGAGAAGATGGCTGATGCTGAGCGAAGAGCCTTATCGCAAACAGTAGAAAGGTTGATAAGTAGATAGGGGTGGGCTATCTTATTATGTATTTAAAGCTTACATGTACATACATGATACGTATAGGATTATATGTGCACACACACTAGCTAGCTGGACTAGCACTCGTGTTGAACTATGTGTGTATACATTGTATACATTTGTATTATATATATATATATATATATATAATTGTACGATATGTATGTGTGTGTGTGTGCATGTACATGTGTCTATGCACCTAGGCTCGGACCGCACCAATCGTATGCACGAGATGTACATGCATTACTTGTCCTGTCGGGCGGAATGGTCGAAGAGCTCCGTGGTGATCGCCATGAGGCCGCCCACCGCCCTGAGCCACAAACCCCAGGGTTATAGTTGGGGTAACACCCCATTTAGGGTACTCTACTTATATATAATATAGGTTCTAAGTAGATCTAGTACTACTTACTAAGCCCCCTGCCACTACAAGTAGCCTTAATCTTAAACCCACCGAATCTTCTTACAAAACCAAGCGAGCTTGAAGCCTATACGGAGCATATACTGAGCATTGTTATATTATATATAACAATGCTCAGTATATGCTCCGTATATATCTACGAAATATTCAGGCCCAGGAACCCTAGCCTCCAAACAATGTTCGCCTTTCGGAAAGCGCCTGGCCTCGGAACTAGATTCCTCTTATAACTCGACCCAGTGACTAAATTTCGACCACACAACCCATCTCGTAGCTGTAACCTGCCCATGCACTTAAACCCTCAACTCTATCCGAAACGCCAAGAATAACACCCCCCAAACCCGGGAGGCTTTAGGCTCCTACTTTGCACTCGCAGACACCACAGGGCCTGGAACTCCTAGCTCCATCTATACCCAGAACCCGAAACAACACCAACCAACGGAATAAGTTCAACCCAATTCAAGGCCCCAGACTCCTATTCAAGGCCCCAGACTCCTAGATCCTAGATTCACAAAACCCAGATCCCCAAGCACCTTGTGTTCCAAACCGCTTGGTGCTATTCTCTAGGTTGTTCGGGGCTGGGGCTTATAGTTTCCTGCTGGGAGGTCCGAGAGATCCAAGCGGACCAAAGAGGTTTACAGCTGGCGGACCCTAAAGGCCCTCCGCTTGGAGTTAGGCGAGGACCTCGCAAACGACCTCTACGCACGCCACAAGGAGCTGGACAGCAGGTTATCAGGAAAACTCCTCCGAGTGCATCCTAACTTTAGCAAAGTCGAGGACAGGGTCGGGGTTAAAGGTTTCATATGGCTATTATGATGGGGTTCTCTATGCTTCGGGTTTTCATTTTAAACACTCTGCCAGGAAATGACGTTGCTGAAGGTCTTTGACACGATCAAGGACATTTCCGACAAGAAGTTCACGAATTCCGCCGACATGCAGATCGAAGCAAACGATGTGGACGAGAACGATGTGCACACAGCGATGCGGCTTGTCGCATATATACAACTTACAATCGTCTAGACTCCACGACATCGAACCTTTAGACTTTCATGAAGCTGAGGGATGCTTTGCTCGATGAAGAGATGCCGGAGTCGAGCCTGCAGCCTGGGAAGCCCGGGAACAACGATAACCAAAAGCCGAAGCCGCAGCCGAAGCCGAAGAAGGAAAAAACGTGGAGGGAGAAGGCCCAGGATGTAACTCGATAGAATTGCGATTTCAGGGGGGTGCCTGTACATGTAATGACGAATAATAATATTGCCCCGAAACCCTAAACTCCTAAACCCCCAAACCCTAAACCCAAGCCCTAAACCCTGGACCCACTTCGTTTGTATGCTGCTTACCCAGCCCAGGCAGATGATCAACATATTGTCCCGGAAACCTGAACTCCTAAACCCCCAAACCCCAAGCCCTACACCAAAACCCTCAACCCACTTCGTTTGTATGCTGCTGCTTACCAAGGCAGATGTCTGTAGTGATAATTTAAACCCACCAAACCCTGAACTCCTAAACCCCCAAACTCAAAGCCCTACACCAAAACCCTAAACCCTACAACCAGTTGGTTATATGCTGCTAGAGAGTGCAGATGTTTGTTATCCCAAACCCTACACTCCTAAAATACCCACCAAACCCTAGACCCTAAAACCAAAACCCTAAGCCAGTTCACTTATAGTTAGCCAAGGCGGACAAGCGGGCCAACAAGGAAATCATCGACTATGCTGGCTTCAAGCAGATCCTGTCCTCGCCGGCTGCTGGTGTGTTCCTAGACTCATAAACCCATACCCCGTCATCGTAAGACCTGAACCCTGCCCTGCTTTAGCCTTCAATCAAAAGCCCGAAGCCTGCTATATTGTAAGCCCGGTTACCCCCGAAACCCTTAAGGGTCGTAAAGCCGGGTTTGTCGTCATAAATCTAGCAATATTGATACGGATGTTGTCCAGGGACACACAGCATTCCATTATTTAGTCTGTTCGGGTTTGCATGTGTAGCTTGGAATGGGCAACCCTTAGGGTCAGAGCCGGGGGTATTCTTGCCTTTAATTAATGACCTTTAGGGTTATGTGTTGTGCTCGTTCAGGGTTTAGGGCTTAGGGATTCGTGGTCTATATTATATAGTAGAGACATCTAGAAAGATATGGGTGCGAGTCGGGCTCCGGTGTTTGCAATATGCTACCAGGCGGTGCTATAACCTGACTGTATGGCGCTTTCACAGTACAATGTAGCATACTAGCTTAAAACTTCAACCCTACCCCTAAAACCTTAACCTACCAGAATCCTTCCAAGGGCGAGCAACATGAAGGCCGCCATTTTGGCGGATGTGGATCCCGCCAAGATCCACCTGGAGCAGGTCAAGTACAAGGTGGCAACAGCAATCGGGCAGAAGGTTTCGGAAGTGAAGATGGAGCCCCTTTTCCGTGTGACTTGTCTCTACGTTGCAATTGTTGTCTGCATGGGTAGCTATATGTTCTCATGTGCTTCATAAGTACAGCTGGGCAAAGGAGCTGGAGGCCGCATTGCAAAAGTTCAAGACGGTTTCCGAGCCAGTTCGTGCGGCTGAGAGGAAGGTTGCTGCATCAGAAAAGCCTCCAAAGGCTACCGCAAAAGCCAAGGCGAAGGGTAAGGTGGCGGCAAAGTAGCAGTTTTGGATGTGATCATGATCGCAGGAGACGGATCATATCTGCATGCACTCTTGGTTGGCACGAACATCCTTCTCATAGGGGCTTGTGTGCATGTACAGAAGTAACAAACCGTATAATGTGGGAGTACGGTCCGGCTACACTACAACCCTTATAAGCTGCTGCTAGACTTTACCTGAACCCCCTAAACCTATAGCTACACTAATCCCGGGCCCTAATCCTTACTAACTCCAATTTCATACAGTGTCGGGCTGTGGCACTACAAGCTCCGGAGAGGGCGAGTCGTGTTGTAGGTTTGAGTGCTTTTTAAAGGGGAACCAGAGGAGCGAGCCTCGTGGAACTTGCCGCTGCCGATTCGCTGCCAGAAAGCAAACCTCGGCCCGGCAGAATGCATGCTTGAAGCTTAATGTTCAACCTAGTCGTACTCCGGCCCCCTCCCCCCGCAGGCATCGAGTTGGAATCTGATGGCGAGGATAGTTCTGATGATGCTGCTTTGGCACAACACATGTGCGACCCCCGGAGAATCCGTTGGTTGCTGAAACATGACCACACTACACTACATTACAGCTTATAGCTTAGGTTCAAGTCGCTGGGTGACGGCCGTCAGAGTGCGAAAGCCACTGTTGAAAATGCTTATGCAGCTGTCAAGGACTTAAGGGCGGGCTTTTGGAATAGAATTTTCTTGCATGCAATTATCATATTGTGTATCGCCTGCAAGGAAGCAGGAGTCGAAAATGTCAGTGCAGCCACTGCTCGAGTCGCGAAGATGTACAACAAGAAGCGACTGGGGAACTGTGATCGCGATTTGTTTCGATTTGTGAAGCTTCCCATCGTGGCCTAACTCAATTCCAATCGAAAGCGCCAACCATAGGCCTGATGCCTAGCCGACATAATAATTACAGCAGCTATCCAAGGCATTCAACTGGGTGAAAGTCCCGCTGCTACACCCTGAAGATCCAAAGCAACGGGTCGAGAAGGCTCTACCGTTTTTGGACCCGCACGAGTACATAGAGTATATCTGGTCCACTTATCGAATCTACATCCCTGACGAGGAAATCGTGCATCTAGGCTGAACCCTTCAATTGTACATTGAGATTCGCAACCCTCTAATTCTATAATCGTGAGCCACTTAATTAGCTTAACACCTTCCCGCAAAGTCTAAGGCAATATTGGCGACACTTCAGGGCCCTTGATGTCGATTGGGCCAAGCAGCATCCTGCCGACGAGCACAGCATTCCCATTTCTGCACCTCGGACAATAATGCAATTAGCTGGCTCGGGATGCAATATAGCTATAGTCGCTACACACCAAAGCCCCAAGCCTAAACAGAGCACCCTAAACCCTGCACCCGAAAGCCTGTTCAGGTCTATGGGGACGAGGCTCAATTCACGAAACAAGGAGATTCTTTCCTGGCACTCATGTTTTCGTTTACATTACACAAGTGCAAAGGCCTGGTGTTTTGCCGGTTGTATTTCGCTAGTTATGGGTTTACTTAAGGTTCAGGTTCTGGGGTTTCGGGGAATTTAGTATATAACATGTGCAAGCCTAGCCTTAAGTGTATCATTAAGCTCGTGCCTGAAAAGGTGATCCATGGAGAAAGAACTTTACATACTTCGTTGTGAACTCCTTCTACTGTGCTGGCGAAGGGATGCTTAAGATGGTTGCGAATATATTTAGGGTACACTGGGTTGCGGCTTCGGGGATTTTTATGTTGGGACTTTGTCATTTGCAGGAGACGTTGCGGCCCATCTACCATAGAGCAGCATGGAGCTTTACCTGCGCTTTTCAGGGGCGTCGCCCCATACATGGCCCCAGTGGCACAACTTCTGATTTGAGCTGCAGACAGAAGCAACTGGCTTCGAGCAAGCCCGAACTTTCGGCACGGTTTGCGATTACAGAATACAAAGGTGATCAAAAATACATGCGAGAAGCTTTTGGGTTACTTCGCAACTGGCAGTGTGGTTTGATATGCCACAGATGCAATGCAGCCCGCCTCTCGGGCAAAGGTCCTTTGTATACCCAGTTTGGGACATGCTGGGAGAGACTTTCGAATGTCGAAGCACTACTTCACGTGTTTCCCAGAAGCCCCAACCCGATGATTCTCATCCCCGGCTTCCATGTCCGGATGCTGACTCTTGGTCGATTACCTTGTTCAATGTAGATTATGTGATTTAGGGATTTAGGGTCTGCTCCCCCCCGGTCGTCTCGTAGTACTGCTGTTGCCACTCAGGCGAGGATGTACGATGCACATCCTCAACCTTGGAATTCTCCAGAATCTCTGTGCAGAGGGGATTTTACAGCTGATGGAGCACGAGGTATATGGCGGGGGCAGCGAGGTCGAAGACAAACTTCGATTCCTATTCAATGAGTTCCAAAGATACTGCAAACTTCAGGGTATCTCTTGCTCCCAGCGAAGATTTACGCCAGCAAACCTGCACTATCCCGTCAACAAGCCGGCTACTGACTATCCATTCCTCGCCGCTAAAGCCTACAACTGTCGTGTGGTTTTGGCCTGGCTTGCAGACAGTTGGATGGCATTAATAAGTCAGCAACCAAACAACCGAAACCCTTAACCCTAAAGGCCTTCATCCTAAACCCAACACGGTTAACATCCGACTCCCTTAACCCTGAAGGCCTTGATCCTAAACCTTAAGCCTTAAACACCCGAAACCCTTAACCCTAAAGGCTTTAATCCTAAAACCCCAAACACCCGAAATCCTTCACCCTAAAGGCTTCAATCCTAAACCCCAAACACTCTAAATCCTTCACCCTAAAGGCTTTAATCCTAAACCCCAAACACCCGAAATCCTTCACCCTAAAGGCTTTCATCCCAAACCCCAAACACCCGAAAGGCTTTAAGTCCTAAACCCAAATCGCCCGAAACCCTTCACCCTAAAGGCTTGAATCCTAAACCCAAAACACCCGAAACCCTTAACCCTAAAGGCCTTAATCCTAAAGCCAAAACACCCGAAATCCTTCACCCTAAAGGGTTTAATCCTAAACCCAAAACAACCCAAACCCCGAACCCGAAAAGATAATGAGCTGAGGAAGCTCTGACATGTCAGACGACGCAAGCTGTTCTGCGGGCCCGGCGGCCAGGGGAAGATGATGACGAATTTCGTCGTCGAGAAGAGCTCGCGAGCCTCATATGCAGCTGTGTGCATCTGTGCCGATATTAATATTCATATAACTATATCAGATTTGAGGTGTTGCATACTGCAAAATCCCGGGCCGCCTTTCCACCATGAAACCGAAACCCCAACACCTTGGAGCCCTAAGCCCTAAACCGTAAAGCCCCAACCCTATGGTTTCGTTGATCAGCTAGGCATACTATCGCTGGTTGGCAACTGCTTTCTGAAAGCTTGCCACGACTGCTGACGAGACTGGAAGCAGACGAGCTTTACTCCCGTGGCATGAAATTCCTGCTGCTGTATCGTGAATGTGCCAGAAGGTACAGTGCCGAAGGTCAGCTACGGTTCTTCCTCAGGCCCAAGCTCCATGTCCCTAGCCTGCATCGATCTTACCTATTCGTGCAATCGTAATAGCTTGAACATCGAAAACCTGGCGGTTGGGTCCATCATGTTCATTCTTAGGCCTTTGAAGAAACCTTGCTGGACATCCAGTCCGAGTGTGCCTCGTTTTACTCATAAGTCGCAGCTTTGTGATTAATGTTTGAATGGGTTGAAGCGATGACAAGAGGATTTCATAAGCATGTTTGGCCGACCTGAGGTTACAATTCGAGATTCCAACATTGTTTCTCGCAAGAGGACAGCCTGGGACTATTGAAACCTTTATGCGTGAAAGCACGAGCCGGCCGAAACTTCGAAGACAGGGTGCTGAAACGAAGCTTGCTGAGGTCTGGTGTTGCAGAAATTCTGTTGTTAGGCCTGCTGATATATAGTAGTTCTAGGCCCCTAATCCCGGAAGTGCCCAATCCCTGAAGGGTGGCGGCCGAGAGACCGAAGGAGCTGCTGCGCCGGCGCTAGCAAAATCGCGAATCGCTACCGCTGGCGGGGGCCAAGGTATTAATCCTAGCCTGCTGCCTTATTATCTAAGGAACCCAGTTAACTTCAGGCCCGACGTCCTAAAACTTAAAACCTAGTTCCTAAACCCCTACCCTGAATCCAAACCGCCAACCACGTGGCCGGGCTTCAGAGGCTTTGGGCTCGGGGTTAGGGCAGGGCTTGGCAGATCTGGCGGATTCGACGGTTGCTTCGCGATTTCACAGGGCCTTAAGGCCTTTAGGGCTGTAGGGTTTGAGACAGGGTTGCGGGGTTTGCAGGTTTGAAGATTTCGACGATATATGCTTTGCGATGTGATGGGGCTTATGAATAAGGGCATTCGGCTTTAGGGTTTCGGGCAGGTTCGAGGGGTTAACTGGTTTGCAGAGCTTGAAGGAGCGAGGCGGCAATGAAACAGTTGTTAAATCGGCCAAATAGCGACCAACCCAAACCCCAAGACCTTGTACTGCTTCTAAACCCCACTACCCACCCCCCAAGTTTAGGGTTTGATTTCGGGTAGAAGGGTCAAAATATTCGGCTTGTTATCCCCGGGCCCTGTAGAAGAATATTACTATTCGAGGAGTAGTTTTAACATTATATATATATATACATATAATATAATATAATAGTAATAATATATATATATATATATATATATATATATATATATATTATATAATATATATATATATATATATATATTATATTATATATTATATATATTATTATATATTATATATTTACTTATTTATACTGAGTCCAGTGATATTTACGATTTACTGACATCAATGGTTCCTAAAGCTCCTTCGGTTCCTGGCGTAGGGTGTCTTCGGGCCAAACATCCCCTATTCCGGGCACTAGGGCCAGTAACCTGCTATATAGGTTACCAGGAGGTATTGGGTTTGATTTGTTGTTTTAGATCGGGCGAGAGTTTTATTTGAAATAGGGGGGCGGGCCGGATGCTTGTGCCTCAGTCTCTCGCTGGGAGGTCTTGATGAAGTGAATCTTCTGCTTGAGTGTGTCTTGAGCTTTGAGCTTACAGTATCCTGCTCAACTTGCAGAGTGATCTCGCGGTTGCCTACTTAGCTGGAGCTTTGTTGCTTTTTCGGTGTGTGACCGAAGTACTGGCCTGTGTTTCAGGAGTATGCAATCACCTGAAGTGACCGGCGGAGAAGCAGAGGCGCCGACACCCTCGGATTCGTTTACATCCACTGAGAGCTTTGTGTTACACCACATGCGTGGGTTACAGATCCAGATCAGTCGGCTGCATAGCATGCAGCTCATGCTTGCTGACCGCCTTTTCGATCGCGTTTCGCGGTTGGAGTCTCAGCAGCTGCTCGATTCTTGCTTTCTTCGTTGGAAGTTTTGGGCTGGCCGAAATTCTGATCCGGAGCATGCTCCTCGCGGATTGCTGGAACCTCAGCTCCAGTAGTGAGACTTTGCATAGCATGTGTCTTGCTCAGAGGAAAAGAAAGGCGGGCGATAAACGCCTGAGTTGAGTGTATGTTTGGCTGCGGGAACTTGCTGATTATTTGTGCTGCCCTCGGATTGCGAGAGAGTACTTCAGATATGCCACTTCAGTTTGGGCCCGAGCGCTTTTTCTTTGTGTGTCATGGAGGGTCGCAAGTGGTTTTGGCATGTGGACGCGCAGGGCCGTTGGGTGCAGATCTGGCATACGCTATGGCGTAGCTTGGAGTTAGCAAGACGGGAAGATTCCCGACGAGACGATATCGGTCGAGATCTTGCACCAGGAGCAACCTCGGAGCCAGCCTTCAGGAAACGCAAACGGGGAGAGTCTCCTGAGCCAGACGCCCGTAATTAATCACCAGCAGCTGCGACTTGCACTGAGGTGTTTTTGTTGCCCGATCAGAGCACAGCAGCATTGCCTAGCAATTGCTGCCTCGTTTTGGCCAAGACAAGTGCATGCAAGTATTTGTCTGCATGATACTAACCAGTGTTCTTGCAGACACATGGCTTCGGCCCGAACCGAAGAAAACAAGCCCGATGCTTCGCTGACAGGAGAGTTTGTTGCAGACTAAGACTGATGTGTGTTGTTGCAGCATGCAGGCAGGATGAGAATGCACAGGTCCTCTTTTTCGTCTGCTCTACGTTTGCAGCCGTTGTGTTTCAGGCAATTGCCACCACCTCAGCGGGAATGTCGGATACTACCAACCCGGAAGAGGTTTTGGAGACTGAAGCGGAAATGTCTTCGTGGAGCTCAGCTTTCGACTTTTTAGATGAGCCGGCTCAGACGAACCGACAAAACAAAAAGAAGAAAAAGAAGGATGGACGGGACCGGCGAGCCCGCAAGAAGCCCTCTAAGAAGGCCGGCAAGAAGCTCGTGAGGAGCTCGGATTCTGCAGAGATTGCTGAGTTTAATCTACAGCAGCAGGCGAGCAGCTCTAATGAGCCTGCTACGAACATCGTGCCAATGGCTGAATCAGGCATGCAGACGGCCCCTGAGGAACTCCAGACTTCTGGAGAGTTCACCTTCGTTGCGGTGTGGCGGCCAGGACCTCCCCCACCGCGAATTGGCAAGACACGTGCTGTTGCGAAGATGTTAGTTCGCGCGGGCCTACGTTGCCCTTGTCATTATGTTCGCGAGTGCCCTGACAGACTTCGTGAATCGCCGGGACCCCAGATCGTTATACCCACACCTCGGAATGTGGAGAGATTGCATCGTAGCCAACTTTGATTTTGGGAGTTTTTCTGTGTGCTCAGGCCGGATGCTGGTGAGAGCCAGCGATGAAGCGCCTCGGAGGCGGAAAACATGCGCAAGAGCGCTTTCGCTGTGAGTGTGTACGCCAGAGGTTGCGTGCGTGCAGAGGCACCTTCGTACGTGACGTTTGTCTGCCAATCCCTTTTGGCCCCAAAAAAAAAAGATTCAGAGCAGCAAGCAAGGCAGGAGCCTGGTGCTGGGTGTTTGATAAGGCGCCGAAGCGCGTGACAGAATCTCGGAGGGCTGGAGCCCGGTTTCAGCTACGTGCTGAGTGTGTGCCGCGGGGATGTTTCCCTGGCCAATGGGACCGATGGGCCGATGGGGCCGATGATGCTGCCATTCGGCAGTGAGAGGCGTAGGCGCCGTCGGCGCTCTGCCTCGAGTAGCTCTGAGCGCTCGAGGAGCAGAAACCGTGATCGCAGACGCGACCGGGAATCAAGATCGGTGGGAGCGCGAGCTGCTGCGCCTTTTCCCCCGCCATTGCCTCAGCTGCCGGGAGCAGCGCCGGGATACGAATGGAGGCAAGTACCAGTGGTGCCGGTGCAGCCACCTTTGCCGCCTCCCTCGACACCTGCCCCGATTGCCCCTGTTGTGCCTGTCCCTCAGCAGCAGACTACTTGGAATCGCCAGCCCTGGCGCGGAGGAGGCCAGCAGAAGCAGGGCCAATGGAACAAGCGCTGGAACCAGTGGCGTCGGTCCAGCCAGGGGTCGGGTGAGACTCGAGGGTCGGGCCGTCAGTCGTCTTGGACGGATCCAGACCACCACAACATTCAGGAGGCCACTCCTTCTGAAGTGGCAGCGGCCGACGCCCGTCGGGCTGCCAAAGAGGCTGATCAGGACGAGGCGGACGACGAAACGTCGTACCTCGCATCTCTGCGGAAGTCGGCGGAGGATGAAGCGCGCGCAGACCCCACTCGACCATTGTCAGCTCGGGAACTGGCAGAGCAAGGAAAACTGCAGTGGTGGTGGAAGATGCCTTGGAAGGCCGTCGTCGAAAAGTTCCCCGACACGGCTGCATACAAGGAATTCTTGGAAGGACTTGAAGGTCCGATACCGGCCTCTATTTCGGGCTTACGGCCGCCCCCTCGAGGGGGAGAATCCTGTGGCGGGCGTCGTCGGACCCGATGCTCACATTTTTCGGGTGCCTGGGCAACGAATTTTGATCTTATCCTGCGATTTGCGCGGGCCAAGCTATATCCGCAATCCGAACTCGGAACACTCTGCTATCATGGCTCATGGTACCTCTTTCCCATCTTTAGTCGGAGATACTACTGAGTGGTGTCTGCTACGCTTCGTGTATGCTGCGAGGGAAGAAAGATTCCCAGCGGCGTAGTTTCCTCGTTGGCAACTTGTTGTTCACGTACTGTCGGTTCAAGTTTTGACCGGTTTGGTGGGGCGTCGTTCCTGCCAGGGTTTCTTGCGATGTCTGGCCACGACCCTAGAGCGAGTGAGAATGAAGTGTTCATGCGAAGCATCACTCATGCGCGGTCGTCGCTGCCTCGGCAGCCTTGGGAACAGCCGGCTATGCTGTGCATCTTCGATCCATTGAAGGCGGCTTTCCCTCAGGGCTTGAACTTGCCTTATCAGGGAGTGGTCCCGGCGTCGTCTGTTCCTCAGACGGCAGCACAGCCTTCAGATTCCGGGAATCCGGTGACGAGTGGATCTCATTGTCAGGCATGGACTCGTGCAGTCAAGGCAAAAAGAGGGCCTAGGGCCGCGGATCGTCGTGACGAGGCGTACCGCCGGGTCCTCACATTACTTCATGCCTTTTCGAGTTTCTTTGACCTGTGTACTTTGATGGCGGATGACGAGGAGGACGGCCCGGATTCTGTTCAGGCAGTTTTGGCAGGGAAATCACCGAACACCATCTTGAAACATGTGGGTCCGGTTCGTACTTTTTGCGAGTGGCTTTTGAAAGCAAGTCAGACTCCGGAAAAAGTCTTGTGGTCTTTCATTCATTGTGTCCTCAAGATGCCTAAGACCGCGGCCACCACACTGGACAGTAGTCTGCGTGCTATCAAGTGGAGTTATTATACCTTGGGACTACGCGTTCAACTAGAGGTCTTCAGCAGTCCTCGAATTCATGGTGTGGTGAAGAAGGCGCTACAGACTAAAAACCCGTGGTGCCCGGCGTCACCCCTCAAGGTGTCCGAAGTTCTCCAGTTGCGCGCGATCTGTTGTGATCGCGATATTTCTGTCATTGATAGATGCGGGGCGGCACATTTCCTTGCTATGCTCTACGCGAGGGCGCGAGCATCGGACATCCGGTGTGTCAAAAGTATCTTGATAGACGTGCACAACGAGGACTGGAGTTCGGGCTTCATTGAACTAGGGACGCTTGAACACAAGACGTCTAGGCTGGACACTCAACGACGCCGCATACTGCCTCTGGTGATTCCCGGCCAGGGTATTGCTAAAACGCCTTTTGGTCAGCTCCTCCTGGACATTAGGGCTGAGGCTGGCTTGCCGAACGATCAGGCCGATGTCCCATTCTTGCCGGCACCTCTGCCGGATGGATCTTGGTCTTCAGACCCGTTGTCTAGCAGCGAGATCACCAGGTGGCTGAGGTATCTACTGCCACGTCCCTCGACGGAGCAGGCCGTCAGTTCGCACTCATTGAAGGTTACTTCACTTGTTTGGTGTAGCAAATTCGGGATGCTTCGCGAGACCAAGCGAGTTTTAGGCCATCACGCGGATGCAGCGACTGGCAGTGATGCAGTTTATGGGCGTGAGTTGCAGAGCGCAGCACTACGTGAGTACGTTGTCGTGCTGGATGCAGTGGCGACGGGTAAGAAGTTCCTGCCGGACCAGACTCGTTCGGGTCATTTCTCATCAGGTTGGACTCGGGAGTCCATCCTGCAGGCGGCTGCTTTTCCACAGGACTCGGAAGTCCTGCAGGCGGCGGTGGAAGATGACCAAGATGAGGCTTTGGCTGTGGTTTCTGATGTTTCAGACTCTGATGAAGAAGCCCCGGAGGAACAATCTTTCTGGGCTCATCCGACTAGCCAGGTCCTGCATCGCACGACTTTGGGGTCGGCAATGTTTTTGTGTGTGGCCGAGCTTTTGGCGATCATTATCGGCGCATTCCTATGGCTCGGGCGCAAGCGCACCCGCAATGTGCCAAGTGTTTCCCACGGAGCGCAGTTTGATTTCTTAGCCTGCTCGAAAAGCCAACAGCTGTCCTAGTATCGTGCTCGGTGTGCATTGTGAGAGCTGCGTCCTCGCTAGCCTTTTCGGTTGCCAGGTACTTAGCCATGACGAGTTCCGTAGATTCGGCGCCTTTCTTTGTGCAGCGCGCGGATGAAATCTCGCTTGCCAAGCGAGTAGTGGATGCCTTGAAAGGTAAAGGGGTCACCACTTTGGCCCAGCTGGCCTTTTGTGTCGGACAACCGGGACAGGTGCTATCTCAGACTGAGTTTGACACGTGGAGCGAGGCCATGTTGGTAGGCATCACGGTGGGCGAGAAGGCGTCTCTGAGGCGCCTGATCTGGAAGCTCAGACCATGCTAGTGGCTTCTTTGAAGGATCTGGCAGAACCTGCTGAACACGCTTCCCCTAAAAAGGTGGGGGTAGCCGAGCGGAATGCTCGCATGGATCAGCTTCGGACTCAGCTCGCCGGAGTTTCGCTCACTGGACAGCTTGAGCCGAGTCATGCATTACTTGACATGGCCGTTCAGCAGTGGGAGAGTCGCTGCCTGAAGTACATTGGTCCGGAGAAGTGTCATAGCCGCGAGGATGAGGTTCAGAACGTTAAGCCTTTGACCACCAGTCTTTCCTTGGAAGGCGGTAAGCTGAAGGTTACGGAGGCTGCTGGTATGGATGATCGTGACATTGAGGGCTCTTTGCAGGTCCTTAATGCCCTGCGCCGCAGAGGAGTGGCTTACGCATTTGCTCGCTTGATCAGTTGGGAAAGACATGAAGCTTATGTTTCTTCCTTGTTCAGGTATTTGACCAAGCCCGCTCAGCCTGGAATCAGGAAGGTGTCTCTTCGTCAGATCTTGCGGGCTGACAAGCTTGCCTTCTCCAAGTTGTCGGAGGCAGGTGAGGATATCCGGGCAGATGCTTCAGGCACTCTCCCGCTTGATGCCGCGATCGGGGCTATCCTTCACGATTATGACCTAATTGTAGCTCTTCTGCCTATGGGTGATTTGGATGGTAAGGGCAAGAATGCTAATGGCCGTGGCGGGCGCCCGGGTCCTTACAGCGAAAATGCGCCCTGGAAGGGGAAGAATGGCAAAGGTAAAGGCGGTTGGAACTCCAAGGGCTCTGATAGTTGGACAGGGAAAGGCAAAAACACCTGGCAGGCCAAGGGCAAGTCGCCCAAGGGCAAAGGCTCTGGAGCCGGTAAACCGGAATGGTTGCCTGAGGGACTTCGCTTCCAGGGAGCATCTGCATGGAATAACAAAGGCAACAAGGTTTGTTACGGTTTCAACCTCGGGACATGTTCGGATGCGAACTGCCAGAAGGGCGATCACACTTGCTGCATCTTTAAGTGCGGTGGCGATCACCCGGTGGGGAAGTGCCCCTTGAAGCCCAAGAAGCTGTGACTAGCGGCTCCGTCGCCTTGCACCGCCGCCTTGGCGTCGGACGTGGAGATGACACCTTCGGAAGAACCCGTTTCCGGTGCCGTCTCTGTAGCTGATGTCACGGCATCGACCTCACCGCCTGTTGGAGTGGGAGTGGACCCTGCTTCAGAGATGGTAGATGTCGACGATTCTCCGATTTTTGTAGAACCTACAGTTTTGGATCCCCCTTCGATGCCGAGCGCTTCGTCTGAGCCTTTTGCCTTGGAGCGCACAGAGAGCGAGGGGGCGCTCCCCTCACCTCCCGTGGCATCGGAGGACTTTTCTCCGGCACCGCCTACTCAGGAGCCGGCCAGAGCCGTTTTGCAGTGCTTTGCAGGTCAAACTCGTGTGGCTTCGGCCTTGATTAAGCAGGGCTATTTTTCCTATGGAGTGGATCGATTCAAGCAGAAGGCGGCCATGGCCCCAGTGCTTCAGATGGACTTGTCGACGCGGGAGGCGTGTGACTCGGTCCTAACATGGCTTGACAACCGGAAGATCGCGGGTGTTATGATATGTATTCCTAAACACGCCTCGGAGCCTGTTACTACGGCTTTCGTCCTGGCAGTGATGGCAGGGTGCTTGAGCAACAACCTGCCCATGGTTCTGAGGGTTCGGTGTCTTCCCCCTTTTGGGAGAGTTTCAATCGTTTACCATCAGCACAGCACCCTCCGCATAGGGTGGAGGTGGATTGGCAGCTTTGGGACTCACATAGCAAGCAGCGCAGCCTCGTGCGGTCTAATTTGCCCGAAATCCTCACTGTGCGCAGGGAGGCGGCACCTATGGGACGTAAGGTGCAGCAGCGATCGGAGGCGCAGACAGGTTATCCGCCGGCTTTTGCCACGGCGATAGCTGAGGTGTTCATTGCAGGCCTGACTCAGCGACAGCTGCCATGCCGCAGCCCGGCCTTAACCAACAAATCGCTGCGAGTTTCGGCTATGAATCAGCCACGTGGGGCGATGCCGGAAGTGGTGTCTGAGTGGAAGCTGGTGGTTTATGTCCTTCTGCCACCGCAGGTTGAGGACCCGTTTGGCGGGTCGAAACGCCTCAAACAGGACTGGCGAGTCCCGCACGGCGCCCGCGTGTTGCCGGAGCTCAAGCTGCTCCCGCAGGATTCCCAGCTTCTGTCGCGTACTCAGTCAGGGGGGCAATTGAGCCCGCAACTTCAGCAGGAAATGCAAAACTTGAATGGAGCCTCAGTTTTGCGAGTGGGCATCCCATGGGATCCCATTGAATTCATTGCTAAAGCAGGTAAGATTGGACACCCATACCACAAGTTATCCAAGTGCAACAAGGATCTCAGAGATCTCGTTCATGACTTAGTACACAAACCGGGACCGGTTCGTTCTCAGAGGAAGAATTACATCGAGAAGTGGGCCAGAAGAGCCAAAGAGTTGGAGCCAGAGGAAACCAAGCTGAAAGCTGGCATGTCGGATCACCGGAGGAAGATCCTTCAACCCAAACGTATCTTGCTATTTGAAGAGATGCTGCGAGACATTGGGTATGACGATATGGGTGTGGTTCAGGAGCTCATCGACGGAGCCACGCTGACGGGGGACATTCCTATCACTGGGGTGCTGGATACCAAGCTCAAGCCTGCTAGGTTGGATACTGAACAACTTATAGGGATGTCTGATGAAATCAGACAGCAGATCCGGGTGAAGACTGGGTCGTCGGGTGATAAGGAAATCGACCAGCTGTTGTGGGATAAGACGATGGAAGAGGTACAGAGTGGATACCTCTCAGGACCTTACGATTTCGAGTCATTGCCGAAAAGATGTTTGGTCAGCTCCCGTTTTCCGTTGCTACAAGGGGAGAAGCTGCGACCAATTGACAACTACTCATCGAGTTTGATTAACGAAGCCTCTCGGCCCGAGTTTTGTTTTGCTGCCCGCAGGTAGGTAGTGTAGTGTGCCGACGCGCGCCGCATGGTTTTCACTGCACGAGCACTTGAACCTCACGATTTCCTGCGCTGTTTTCACTTTGGCATTTTCATGGTATTTCGCATGATTTTCTGGATTTGCTTGAGTGGTCTTTTACATCATTTTGACAACAGCAAGCACAGCATGGCAGCAGATGTTTTCGAGATGGGGGCCGTGCCGGTCCCAAGTCCGGCAGCCACTTTTGAGGTGCCCACAGTTGACACTTGTGGCAGAGGCGAGGGTTGGGAGCTGCAGCGCCAGGCTCTCGGGAGCAGGAAGACTGAAGGAACGCAAAAGACTTCGACGACTCCTGCGAAAATCGGCGCCGGAGGCCGCAACAACGGCTATACCAGAGCTCGGAAGAGGGCGTACAAGAGGGCACTTCTTCGTGCCAGGGAACATGGACAGACAGTTTATCGGGGACGGCATCTCAGCGAAGGTGCTCTTCAGCGAGATTACATTCCCACAACCCTGCAAGACACAAGACGGCAAGTGCAGCGTGACAGGCCAGATCGCGCTTCATCAGCAAAGAGTTTTTCATTGCGATGCTTTTCATGGAACTGTGGAGGACTTAGCAATCTTAAGGACGAATTGTTTACGTGGTTAGATGACCAGCAGTACCATGTGATTTTGTTGCAAGAAACTTGGCTTCGACATGATTCGGATTTCAGCTCCAGGGGCTGGATATGCATCAACTCGGGCATCGAGCAAGGCAAGAGGGCGCATGCGGGAGTTCAGATCTGTTTACGTGCTTCAGTCTTCCCACAGCAGTACATCAGATTTCACCACGTGATTCCAGGCAGAGTTCTACATGTCCAGGCTAAATGCAAAGGCGGCTGGGTGAACATCATCAACGTATACCAATACACATGGGACACAGCAGCTGAACAGGATGGATTACTACAACGCCGAGCCGATGTGTGGCGAGCGGTTCGCAAAACACTTGGTCAGATACCTCAGGGCAACTTCTTACTTCTAGGTGGTGATTGGAACACTGCTCTACCTCACCTACCACCCTGGACAGGTACCGGCATGATCAAGGCAAACACCGACTACACGGACAGCGATTGCCTGGAAAACCTGCTCGCTGACTTTAAGCTCTTAGCAGTGAACACATTTGGCAGGAGTGGATCCAGTACATACATCCATGACGGCTTCAAGAAGGCTCACCGCACGTTTATAGATTTCCTGATGGTCCGGAAGACACAGGCACACGGGCGCAAAAGTTGCATGATACGTCAGTTTCAGGTCGGCAGGTGGCGGCAAGGTGGGCGGCATCTTCCGATCCAGCTGGAAATTCCGCTTCGGCCTTATCGTTTCTCTAAACCCCCTACTGCACAGGAATGGCCCATATGGAAGTGCAAACTCCTGCAACAACAGGTTCAAGGGGATCCGGAGATCGCGGAGCGCTACAGACAAGCACTCAGCGAGGCCCTCCAGGGGATTGACGGTTACAAGCCGCAGTTGCTGAATGACATCATGCTAAAGGTGGGACGGGAGATCTTTGTGGTGCATCGGCCTCATAGCTTACCTCCCCCATGGGCACAGGGAGAACATGTTCAAACGATCAAAACGATGTGGCAGCATTATCACCTGATGAGGTCGCGACGGCATCCGGGCTCACTTCGTGCAGCTTTCGAGGCATTTCGGCATTGGGCCGCTTTCCATCGTCTACATAAGCAAGTCCAAAAACACAGCAGGAGGCTTCGTCGGCAACGGATGGACCAGCTACTGGCAGATGCGCAGGCCCGAGATCAAGTTGATGGAACCAGTGCAGTGTTTGACCTTCTGAAGCGAGTAGCCCCAAAAACCGCTCGTAGAAGAACCCAGCTCAGAACGACTGATGGCAAGCTCATGTCCCCGCTCGAGGAGGCAGAGGCACTTGCTGACTATCGGAAGGGCGTGTGCGGGGGCGATGCTAAGGACACCCCAGTGGGCTCACAGTGGAGTGGCCAGCAGGCCGCCTTGCTTGATAGAACACAACCAGTTGACATCACCCGGACGGAGGTGGAGACGGCTCTGCGCGGTTTGCAGAGCGGCAAGGCAGCGCCGAAACATTGTGCACCACACGTGATGTGGAAGATGGCAGCGGGACCAATAGCCGATCACTTGGAGGACAAGGTGCTACAGAAGTGGCGTCATGAGGGTGCTGTTGTGCCCCGAGATTGGCCCGGATCCTGGCTTACTTTCCTGAACAAGCCCAACAAACCTGGCACAAAACCAGAACACCTCAGGCCAATATCACTGATTGAGCCGGCTGGCAAAATGATGAGTGGCATCATCAAGGAGAGGCTCACCCCGTACTTGGAGGCCTGGACTTGCCGACTTCCGTTCTTTGGCTACCTCAGTAACCGATCTACCCAACAAGCCTTGAACATAGTGTACCAGCATTGCGGTCACATTCGGCAACAAACGATGGCTCAGGGCAGATCTCTCTACGCCAAGCGAGCCGGAGCCCAGGTTCACCAATGCATAGGGGGATTACAAATCAGCATAGATTGCACGCAAGCCTTTGACCGGATTGATCGTCGTCTCCTTCTCGAAGCCCTTCATCTACTACAGGTGCCAGACGAACTCGTTAATCTGATAATGCGCTGGGTCCAGACTACCGAATACCACATTGTTCAGGACGGCGTTGACGTACACTTTCAGTCACAGCGCGGAGTACGCCAAGGATGTAAACTTTCGCCTACCCTCTGGTGCTGCATCATGGTGCTTATCACCCACAGAATTGATCAAATGCTAGGACCAGGATGGTGCTGGGAGCATCTGGTCGGCTTCGCCGACGACACTCATCTGAGGTGGGAGTTCTCTTCTCTAACAGGCATGCACAGCGCAATGGAACAAGCTGCCAGGGCACTGGCACTTTTGGAAAGCATGAGCCTGGTGCTCAGTCGTGAGAAAACGGTCTGCCTCTTAAAAGTTGAGGGTTCGCAAGCTCCTCATGCCAAGAAGAAGGTGATCCACACTCGCACGGATGGCAAGTTCCTTCAGCTCTCACCCCAGTATACATTGCCACTCAAGAAATCACACATTTATCTAGGAGCGGTTATTTCATACTCGGACTTTGAGAACATGAACGCCAGGCATCGTGCACATGCGGGACATGTGGCATTTACACGACTCCGTCCGTACCTTATGGCCAGGCGCACTCTACCATTACACAAAAGACTTGCCCTATGGAAGGCTACGGTGGCTGCATCTACGCTTTATTCTATCACGGCGGCTGGCCTCACACAGAAAAGCTTCGACCTTATCAGAGTACAGATGACCAAACAGATCAGGGCCATGGCCAATTCACCCAGGCACCTTACGCTGGAATCGGACAGTGCTCTCCTGAAACGTCTAAAGCTTTTATCACCAGCAGACATGATAGAATCGAGACTTCTTGCATTAGTTTCTCGGACCAGTGAACTCGCTCAGACTCTTCATCCGGATGATGTGCGCATTATGCCGCTCATTGTCGACTGGGAGGCCGCCCGTTTGCAGCATTTTCGAGACCTACGGAAACCTCGACTCAAACAGGACGGCGATGAACATGTTTGCGAGGAGTGCCAAGCAGTTTTCGACTCAGCAGCTGCATTGAGGCAGCATATCGCCAGGCTTCATAGCAAAGCACGGCGGGAAGCTCCCAGCGAGGTGTTTGATCATCACCGACATGGCACCGACGGGATGCCGACATGTAGTAGGTGCGGTCATCGGTTTGAGAGATGGGCCGACCTCAACAAACACATCAAGGGCAACTTTTGTCAGGCAGCCCCGCTGGACATGAATGCCACGATGGTCAAGGAGGCGTACCTTCAACAAGCGAGAACCCTGCCAGCTACTGGCCGGGACCCGCGCACCATAACACTCACGGATGCCTTGAGGGATGAGCTTCTCCATCATTGCGGAATCTGTCGTCAGTGGCTGCCCAACTCTCGGTATGTCAAAATCCACTACACCAGAGTTCACCCGGATTACTGGCAGCAACATCAGGCTGCCACTCAAAATTGGAGACGAAAACATATCGCCAGAATCAAGGACAGCTGCTCGTGGTGTGGTGGCACTCCGGGTGCCGGCTCCGTTCATTCAGACTCGTGCCCAGTGCTTTTTCAACTTACCATGATTGATGCCATTGTGCGTGAGGAGACGGGACAGAATGCCGAGGACAGTGAGAGGACAGCAGTGCAGCCGGAACCCATGCCACAGCCGGATGCTCTAAAACATTGGGATCGTCAGTGCCAGTTTTGCAACCAGTCATGCACCAACAGAGGTTTTTGCAAACACATGCGGGAGCAACATGCAGCGTGGTGGAACGCACGTTCGGAAAAGATCGAGGCTCTTTGCACAGCGTGGGCACATGGACTGGGCAAACCCAAATGCCAATACTGTGACCAACATTACAATCATAGAGCTCAACATGCTGGGGTTTGCTACAAACTATTTCAAGAAGCCGTGCACCGTAGTGTCCAATCGCACCCGCATGACGTTCCAGGAAGCCGAGATGGAGTTGGATTCGGAAGCCAGCAACCCACAATCGGCACAGGAGATCATGGACGTGTTCGGAACTTGCTTGCCGTCGGTGTTGCAGCTTCAACAAGAACCTACGAACAAGCGAGCCAAGACCAACGAGACACCGACACAGAACTCGGAGCACACAAGAACGATGCAACCACGGGGAGGCCAGCGGAGAGGGGGTCCACAACATCCTCAGCGGGGAAACTTCGGTGGCAACAACTCTTCGGACAAGCTCACGTCGCTAACTCTTACAATGGCTCGTCTATGTCTCCGACAAGAAGAAGAACTTCAGTTGCTACGCATGGACAAGCAATTCCTGATTCACTTCGAGAGCGGTCCCCAGGGGTTACTTGCGTCGTTCTTTGCGATAGCAAAGAAGTGGCACGAGGCTCGACACAAATCCCCTCCGGAAGTCGCGAACTCCCTGAGAGTGTGCATGGTGAACAGCATGTGGCTCGAACTACACAGCAGGCTAGAACGGATGCTCAAGGACACAACGACTCAGAACAACTTGCACAAACACGGTTGGATCACCAAGGACGGGGAGAAGATCATGTGGCCATACAAGGTGTGGGACGGGCAACAGCAGCAACTGATGATCGACAACAGCCGGGCACCGATCGAACACAACAGCATGCTCGACATTATCAAGAAGCTCCAGACGATCTTCTTGCAGGAAACCGAGAATCTAGTCCACAAGTTTCGCAGCACAAGACGCCTCACCGAGCACATTGCGGGCACGACTCTGCCGTTCATGATGTCGTTGAGTTGTCGAGGCGAACAAGCGGACAAAGCTCACCACCTGTGCACGATGATATCGGGCAACAGCGTGCTCCAGCTTATCGGGGCGAGGATGCGACCGGAAAGAGCCAAAAGACAACCGCTGGCGGACACGCTAGCCAAGGAGATGGATCATATGAAGGGCGCCCACAAGTGACGAGGCAGCTTGTATGCGGACTGCGGTTGCAAAACAACAACAATATTTGCTACATTAATGCAACGGTCATGCTATGGCTATGGGCCTGTGGAATAACTGATGCGTTTGACGATGTGGCAGGTACTGCGGGCCGCGCGTTACGGGCAATACTTCAACAACGGGGCAAAGTTCATTTGCTAGAGCTCCTGCCTTGGCGATGCTTCTTTCAGGGTTGGCAACAGATTACTAGACAGCACGATGTCCGCGATTGGCACTTGCATTTATTTCCACAGGCGATGCCTCCACATCTTCGGGGTCATTGGCAGGCGAGGTTACTCAATTTTCAGATTCGCGACCATGCTGACACCATCACCCCGATATTGATGACTATACCCTCTCACCTACAGGAGTGCTCACTGCAAACTGTGGTGGACCAGTGGAGCGCACAGGAGGCCATTCATGCATTGACAATCCCACCCCGAATTCTTGGTCTGTGCCTCAACAGGTTTTCCTTTGTGGACGCCGCTGAGAAGCTTGACATGCCAGTATGTTTACGCACCGTCGATGTGACATTCCCATGTTTCGTGGAAGAGCATAGTCTGCTTACGCGCAGTTGTGTTTATCAGATCGTGGGAGCCATTGCACATTATGGTCGAGACGTCCATTCTGGGCATTACAGAGCTTTCCTTTACAGTTCTGAAAATAACGTCTGGCATGTCACCGATGACAACGCTCGAGCCAAACGAGCCAAATCAGCTGATGCTCAACATCTAACTCGAAATGCGTACATTGTTTGGCTGAGATTGCTGAGCGTGTAGGGGTAGGGTAGTTATCGTTTCAGGTGCAAGTGCACAGGATTAGTCCACGCTGGACGCAGGTGGCTAATCACGATGTCGGGGAGTGTGTGTGTGTGTGTGTGTGTGACAACCCTGTATCCAAGGGCCTTCTCCTCACGCTCTGCAGCCATTTCCTATTTACGATGTACATATAACGGATCTTGAGTGCAGATTACACAGCAGGGGGCGGGAGCATGGACTGCTGGACTCCCGCTAACAAAGACGCCAGCTTTCCATGGTGATGTGTTCTGGGACGCCAGAACATGTACCTGCAGTTTGTGACATCGTGCAACATCCTTGCTGTACACTGGTTCTCCTGGATATTACATATTCTTTCCGTTGCGCTACACTGGACATGGCATGGGGCCAAGCCGAGAACCCCGAGCAGAACCTTGTCAGTGCGAGTGAAGCCATTCTGCAGTGAATACAGACTTGATCTGCCTGTCACTTTCGAGCGCTACTGTGTCCACTTGAGGTTCAGGCCTTGTTGGGGTTTAGACAGGTTGCAGGTCTAGGTGGCACACTTTGAGCCGTTCAGCTTCGACCTTACTGCGCATGAAGATACGTGTTCAAAGTTGCTGGTGCATGGTCGCCCAAGACCTGGGCATCTGGTGGTCCTACGCATACAGAAACCTCTCTTAGCATTCAGTGTGTAGTCCTCCGGGACGGTGGTGTATGCCTCGGTGCTGCACTCAGATCCTCCAAGTTCGGAGGCGCCAAATTCAGTGTCAGCGCTTAGACCAGTTCAATGAAGAGAGCAGTGAAGCCACACGGCCTAACCGCCTCTCATGGCACCCACAAATTCGGCTCCATGCCTACCAACACGCGATTGCAGCTAAAGCGGCTTCAAGCACTCATACCCAAGGACTCAGGCAGGAAGCGTTTTGACCGTAACGTTCTAGTGGCTTTTCCCTGTAGTAGTTGTGGTTGTAGGCTGTGCATTGCTTGTCTGCATTCGCCATGCCTCCTCGTCCCCGTCCATCCTGTGCACCTGGACTCTGGCCGACCGCACCCTTTCGATCACGATCTCGGCGACGCCCGAGGTCTGCGTCTTCATCGTCTTCCTCTTCCTCTTCGTCGTCAACGCCGGCGGCACCTACGACCCGGACTGCCGCACCTCAACGTTCTACTTTGACTGGCCGAATCGCTGCCCCTTTGCAGCCTCCACGACCTATTGATATGGCAGCTCCAAGCACTCTCCCTGATCTTTCTCCTCTTCCTCCGAGCCCGTTTTGGCCTGGTTTACCTCCTGCTGGCTCACCGCCGTCTTCCTCCAACAACGACCAGTCAGTGCCTGCTGCCTATGCCTCTACCTCGCCGCCGGACCCGTCTTCCACCCCTACGGCATCCTCGACCTCGCCACCTACAGCATCTTCGACCTCACCAGCTCCCTTCAGCTCTGCTTGCACGCTGGCAACCTTACGCCAGTGTTTGGCCACGGCAGGCCAGCTTGATGCCTACCTGCAATCCGATTACTCCACCCGACTGGGCTCCCTCAAGGCGGTACACTGGGATCGAGTATATACTGCATTGCTACAATACAGGTCCTACTTCAAAGCGCTCCCCCATCGTCGACAATGTCAACCGGAGTTACTCTTGGAGGGACGCCAAGTTGATGTGCCTTTTACTCTGGCCGATCCGATACTCACAGTGATGCATCTGCTGGTACATGCTGGATACCATCCTCACAGTGTTCAGTTCAAGTTTACATATGTCGAGGCTCCCCAACATCAACCAGACAAAGCAGGGAGACCAATGCTTATGGTTTCACTCCCCTTCCCGGCAGCAGCTCAACGTATTAGCGGGGCACCTGCAGTCGCGTTTTTCGGCCATAACACGGACCTTCAGGCCGCCTTTGGCATCCTGAAAGAAGGATGCATTCGGCCCAGCAACTATGACCCCCTTGACGCTTCTTGGCTGCCGAGTCCTGCTTTTTACTCTCGCGCTTCCGTCCACAGTCTCAGCGGTGCCTTACGAGCTGCAGCCAAGTTTGGAGGATGGGGTTCTCCCCGTCCGATTTGTGTATATGGTCGAATCCCCATTTGCTATCTCGACATAGCCAATGCCGCGCCTACCGACACACCGTCTTCAGTGCTCCCCAACACTCCCGCGGCCTATCACCTGAAGAGCGACAGTGGGGGCACCGTCCCCGAAAACGCGGCGAACTACTTCGTCTCCATCCTGCACGGCAACGACAACCGTTGGGGTGTGCACTCCACGCTCGCACAACCAGAAGGCATTGCCGTGTTCATGTGAGAGGACCCACAAAAGGTGTGCGTGATTTGCGATATGGCATGGCTGGTCTCTTTGTTGTTGCAGCCTTATTCTCTTTATCCCGCAGCCGTTTTGCTGAACTAAGCGTGACCTTGCTCGCACATCATGGCCTCCTCCGCCTTCACTCCTGAATATTTGCAGTTGTTCTTGGTGTTTTTCGAGTCGTTGTCCGACCATCAACTGCTCCAAGTACGTGATGTATTACTACGAGCCCATCAGAATCGAACGACGTTGACCCCTGTGACACCGGTGGCTACGACAACTACGCCACCGCCTCCCGATGCTCCCCCACCTGCCACAGCGCTGCTCACCTCCAGTGACCCAGGCCCTTATTCTGGTCAAGCCGCCTACAACTCTCCTGGACCTCCAGTACTTCCAGACGGCAGTGTGGCCCCTCCGGCCCCCATGGGACCACCACCGATTCCTCCTCATGTGGATCCCTCTCAGCGCCAGACCCTACCACGACTTCGGAGACGAGATCGCGACCGCCCTCGAGATGAAGAACGCTCTCGCGCTGAAGACCGCGATCGTGATCGTCATCGCCGACGACGTCGCTCGGTATCCCCACTTCCTCCTGACCCACTACCTGCTGGACCTTCTTCTCCTCCGATGCCATCAACCCCGGGACCTTCTGATGCTATCCCGATCGGTCACACAGCTCCACCTCCGGCTGTCTCAAAGCACACTGGACGACCTCTTGCACCTAAGGTCGATGCTGATGGCACTTTGATTTATGTACCGGTCAAAGCCCGACCGCAAGTTCCTCCTCCACGGACCACAACGGCGACAACTGGCCGATCCCGTAGTCGGCGTCGCCGCCGCGATCGTGCTGACCGAGACCGTGATGATCGTGAGGATCCTGACCGCTCTCGAGGTGCGCGTGATGTTCCCCATCGCGATCGAGACCGCGATCGACACCGACGGGATCTGAGCGGAGACCAGCAGCGGCCACCCCTGACTCTCTACTCCGTCGCTCGGGCCTGAACAAAACATGCGCCCTCGCCGACTCTGCTCCTCCTTTTTGGATGTTCCGCAGCCATTTCCTACATCACTCCACAGTCCTGCCCTTCCCTGGTACCACACATGTCTTTCCGACGCCCTGCTCCTTTTTCATCCTCTGCCTCCTCTTCCTGCTCGACCTTGTCGTCATCCACTTCGGCAACTGTTCTGGAGTACTTGGACGTATTGACTGATCCTTGCATTCTCTTCCGGGTGTTCTTACCACTCTTGGAACTTCGTCTACGTACAGCTCTCGTCCCTCCCGACTCGATGATGGACACTGCCTCTGACCGTACACCCGCTCCGGACTCCACGTTAAGGTGCCTCTTTCCTATTGCTGAACTACATGGCCAGGCCCTTGCGTTCCGGACGGAACGCGACTATCACCTTCACTATGCCCTCGCCGAGATCACATTTCATCCCCGTCTCGTTGCTTCTTTGATGGTGACCTGCTCGCGAACATACTACGCCGTACGAGCCCTTCTTCGTGATCGTGGACTTCAATATGCCTTCTACGTGGAACGCACACCCGATCTTCCACGGTCACATTCTTCTCGACCGTGCCTGTCCATCTTCCATCCGTTTTGTCCACAACAAGTCCGCGGAATGGCGTTACACCGTGGACTTCAGCATTGGGTCTTCATTCCCTCCAGCTACCAGGAGTTACCTCTGATCCGGCTCGGACGTTTCTCATGATGCGCGCTCAGGACCTGGACAAAGAGGACTATTTGCTACTGCAGCAGTTCCTAAGCGAGCTCACTTCCCGCAGCCGTTTTTATTTTGGCTCCTTTCGCCTGCTTCCTCACGCCTCCTCCCATTCTTCCTCCTCCTTATGCCTCCACACCGCTCTCGCACTCCACCTTCCCGACGACATCGTCTACATGGACGTCACGCAGGTCGGGGTCCTTCCGGGACAATCGCGCACACAGCCGTACGTCTCCTCCCCGGTCTCGACGACATCGCAGCCGCACCCCGGTGTCCAATACACCGGAACATCACCGCCACCGCAACCGTGGCACTTCGATCAGACAACATCGACATCGAGATCCTGATGCTGATTCTCCCCCACGACGTCGGCTACACTACTCTTCACCACGGCCATCGTCTCGACGACATCCTCTTCCTTCCGACTCTGACCGACGGGCACCACACTCTGACAGCCGGGTGCACTCCACCCCTCCACCTCATGATGATCCATCCCACTATTCTTCCTCCGGTGCACCTCCAGCTCGACGTGAACCTCGCCGTGATCGTCGCGATCCTCCTTCCGCTCGAGACCATCGCCTACTTCAGGAACGCTACGAAGACATCTATTCGCTCGGCGCCAACTGGGAAACCACCGACCTCTTCCTTGACGCGAACCCAGACCGCGGTTTCCCTTTACCGCGCAATGTCGTAGACACTGCCTTTACCCGGCGTCTCGGCATCGCCGAAATGCCTATTCATCTCGTCCCTATTGTGTCGCTTACCCCGAATGCGGGGCAAGCATGGATCGTCCGCCTGCTGGCGGCTGGCCGCCCTCTGGTGATTGAAATTTTCAGGACGCGGCAGGAAGCGCTTTTGGCGTCATTCATTATTCGGACGCTCCGCAAGTCCTCGGACCAATACGACATCTCTGATGTCCTTAAACAAAACAACTACACGACAACCATACCGTTGCTACCGAAGGCCCACGCGACCTTACCGTATGGGCGTATCGCGCTCAGCTCTTGCAACACGTGGCGGACAAGGTTGCTGCGACGATTAATGATCTACTACCCCACGGAGAAGGTGCAGCCGGAGGACGACCTGGACTTCTGGAACAAATTCAACGATTGCAGCAGGACAACGACCAGCTCAGGTTGCTTGCCGCTGGCACCGGCGCCGAGACCTTACCTCATCCACTTGCAGAACCGAACCCTCCACCAGATGCTGCCACCAGACTCCGGGACTCCTTTTCCAAGTTCGAACGACTTGATCGCCGCGCTGTCCTCGCTTCCAACTCCCCCAAATCCGCCTCTACCGCCGATGTGAAGAAATGGCTCGACGGTCTCATCAAGCTCCATCGCGAATCCTACACACCGAAGCTCACCGAGTTACAGGGCATCTTGAAAGAGGCCACGTCGGGCGTCCTACCACCCTTGGACAAAACCCTTGTAGATTGGGGATTGACAGTCAGTTTGGCTTCCAAGTTGTCTGAAGTCAACCAACAAAAGCTATTAGCGATGACGGCGGTCCTCTCCGCCTTCCAGCCAGCCGCGGTTCCTGCTACTGCTCCCAGCACATGAACGTGATCGTCCTCACTATCTTTCAGACGGCACATCGCATCAACTGCTACCATCGTGGGAGTGGCTGCAGTCGAACGGAAACAGTCTGCAGCGTTGCAATGCCTGCCTGGACGTTGATTCACATATTCACACTTTCCGAAGCCGTTTCTTAAGGGTTTTTGACATTAACACCATGCCGCTCCAGCTTTCCACACTTCCTTGCGGATTTCTGCATCAGCTCTTGGACTACCACCAGAACTTGTTCGCGTACGCCGTGGCCGCGACTCACCCTCCTATTGATGGCAGTCCAGGCAATTCTATTCGGCAGACCACACGACATCCCGATGACGTCATGATCCGTGATCGTCTGGCAGAGCTCATTGACCGTCACACTAACCTCTTCTACAGGTTCTTCCGCGCTGGGGACAACTATTATCATGGCCTATTTGTTCTTACCTTCGACATCGGCGTCATTTCGGCACTTTCGGCCACCAACCGCCATCTGAATGATGCACTCGCCATCTACCTCCTCGCTCGCTCCATGACCACAGTTGCCCTCCTACCCGCGGATCGTTCTGAACCTCCTGATCTTCTTCGTCGGCGTCTTCCACTTGGCTCAGAGTTCTCCAGCATTGTGCGGTTCTCCTCATTGACATACCGCCTGGGCATTCCCTCCTATTTGACTGAGTTCGATTGCACGGAGGTCCCCCGCAGTCGTCTATTCCGATTACGACTCCATGCCTTTGGCACCGCCCTGCAGAGCAGACATCTTCAGGACACCTCCTGGAGCGGATGATCGTGGGACATAAAGACTCCTCACTTGCTCTTCCTTTTCATCTCTGACTTCACACGCTCTGAGTTGTTACCCGTTGTCCTCCACCCGCAGCCGTTTCAGCTACTTGACTTACCCTTCATCCACTTGCTCGTCACACCATGGCGAACTTGGCACCGGAGGCACTGGTGGACCTTCCTACTACCTCTGAATACCGCGAATGGGTGGCAGCTGCTCGAGAATCTCGCAGGGATCGCACTACACCGACCCCCTCGACCACCTATGTCTCAATATCCTCTGGAGAAAACCGTACGATTTCTACCTTCACCGACGTCCCGGTCAATTTTTGGCTTTCTCCTTTCATCTTGATGCGAGGCTGGTTGGTTCCGTTCTCCTCGACCTCACCGCGACCGCATATCCACCAGATTATGAACGAGGTGATGACGGAGGCCTGTAACATGTACTATGAGGTCGTCCAGATCGCGGATAATTCTTACCATGGGTTGTTCGAGATTGTACTCGACTTGTATCTCACCACGCAGCTCCTCCGGGTCAACCGCAATATGAACTATGAAGTCATCCATTTCTTGCACGGGCGCAACATTACCCACTTCATTACTCGGGACGTTCATCAACCTCGACCCGCTCAACTACTACCAGGTGAACCTATTCCCCGTATGCGCGGACCATTTCTGCCTCCACGCATCCTACCCATCTGCACCACCTACGCTGACGTGGTCCGGTTTTCAGATGCGGTTCTGACATTGATGATCCCTCATGAAATTCACACTTGGGAGGCTCTTGAGTTGTTGCAAACACAGCTACGGTGTCTACGCGCCCGCTCCTACCTGTTGTTGGGACAATGTCTCCATTACCACCGCCGCGTGTTCTTCACCACAGCCTCCGCCAACGATATGGATCCATGACGCCGAGTTCCGCATGCTGGCCTTCATACACTCTTCTTGACTGCCCGCACAGAAAAGATCACATGCCTGATGCCCCATTGCTTTCATGTCGCAACCTTTTCCTCTGATTTATGGATCCCGCAGCCGTTTCTCCCATTGTTTTACAATACGGCCGCGCCCTTCTTCACGCCGAGCTCTATGAAACGATCAGCCGCCGTCGCTGGGCTACCCATTCCTCCTAATCTAATACGTCTGCGTGTTCTGATTCCGGCATGGTTCCTTTGCTGTGATCTACCCGATGACGGTGGACATGCGGAGTGGTTTGACTTTCATGTGTGGAGCGACATGCTCATCGACCATGTGAAACAACGACTCTCACAGCTCCTCCATCAACGCCATGGTCGTTATCTGCACCCATCGCATTTTCAGTTACTCCAGGGCGACCGACATCTCTCCTATATGAGGAGCACCACTGCGATTGCCACCGTCAAGGACGCTGAAATCCTCCGAGAAGAACCCGCTTGTGGCAGTCTACTTGAAGCCCGCCGAACGACCTGGCAACCGGCCATTGAACTACCTCCTGGTGCCACACCGACCTGGAGACGTTGACGGCAAAACAGATTGCTGCCGCCCTTTGTGATGTGTTCCTTGTTCTCTCTTGAATACATACCGCAGCCGTTTCGATCATCATCATGAGTGTTCCCTTCCCCATTGCTTCGCTCGCGCACATCACCTCCTACTTGCAGTACATCGATGTGATCTTGGAGTTACACGACGATGCTGACGACTCCCCAGAATCACATGACAACTTGCCTTTGTGGGTGACCAGGTCGTGCGATATGATTACCAGCTCCATGCGAAGAGCCCGGCTTCGATGCTGCACACCGAGATTGATTCGACACGGATACCATGAAGCAGTCTTTCGCGTCTCCCTACAACACGTGAGTTTATTCATTTGTCAGACAACGGCAGCTGTTTGTTCGGAATGGTGCCACGTTCTACGTGATTGTCTCGATGCCACCGAACATTTGCAATTACACCTCGCCCGTATCCCGCAAGCTGCTCTACGGCAAGGCGCTCCGTGCAAACTTTTCTACTGGGACGACGAGGAAGGCGTGGAAACAACCATCTCGATACTACGAGCTGCCCTACCAGTTCGTCGTGTACGTTTTCAGCACCTCTCTTGATTCACTCCATACCGCCCTGGCGTCGGAAAACCGTCCGACCCTGCCATCCTTTGTTGCCCTTGCTTGCCCCTTCCTTTTCGTCCGCAGCCGTTTACATTCGGGACGTTTCATGTCCCCCACCTATGCCCATGGTCCATGAGCGGCGCCGGTCTCGCACTCCACGTCGACACCATTCTGTACGTGCGGAAAGCACTACTCATGCACGAGTACGAGGCAACAGACAAGCTCAGACCAGACAAGCTCAGACCAGTCGACTTATTGATTTTCTACATCAGGGCCCACTTCACCCACTGTATCGCCGCTTTGCCAATGGCCAGTCGGTGTACCCGCTTTCTTTCGAGTCCACCGATGCCTTACTACTCGTTAACGAGGTCATGCGACAATTGACAGAAGGTTCTTCATTGTCACCAGCACAATTTTCTGCACTACGTGACGATGACGTTGCCCGCCACCTACGACATGAACTCTTCCCTTCCTCATCATCCTCCACCTCTTCAACATCCCGGCCAGTTATGGGTTTCAATCATCCGAGAAGATCACAGACATCCGACGGTCTACCACTCCGAGCAACCACGACCTCATCTTTGCGACCTTCTACGACCAGGACATCCACAACTCCGTCTACATCTTCAACCTTACGGATTCCACCACCCCCTCTCGATGCCATTTTCTCTCATCGTCCGGATCCCACACACAGGCCGTCTCCACTTCGAGTACATTATACCTGTCCTTCCTCATGTGACACGTCCCAGCCACCTTGGACTCCGACATCTTCCTCCACAGGTCTAACTTCCTCGACCAGGACGTCCCTTACCACACCAACCGGCTGGACTAAAGACTCGGACCTCAAGATTGATGGATTGACATCGACACTACGACAAACTTTGCCTTCGATTTCTGACTCGCGCATCCATGAGTGGCTGGTCAGCAGATACGCACTGACACGCGTTCAGGTTGCTCACACCTTACAAACGTCCGCTCTCCGACTCCTCTTCTGCCTGGAGATCTTCAGCTTTGACCACCTTTTCGCAGAAGATTTGGGAGACGACGAGAACGACGTTCCACAATTATCTCCGCGAACCCCAGTACGTCACCGCCTACCACCTCATCCACACCGACTTCTTACATCTTTCCTAGACTTTTACATTGCGGCATTGCCGATTATACGACAAGTTCTTCCACATCATGTCTTTGGACGTCTCTCCTGGGTACGCGCTCTGTGGTTCCTACAACTTCATCGCCTACGTTTCGCCACTACTACCAACCATCGCGGTCTCCAGGATTTATTCTTCAATTTGGACGTACAGCCGTACACTCTACGACATCATTTACAGTCCAACGTCGTCTACATCAAAGTCTCCCACAAACACCCCGGATGGTACATCGGCTCCACCATCCACACCATCATTGACCGGGAAGTTAGCCGCCGATCCAAATACAATCAACTTTGTTCCGGCACTCAAGCGTTCTTCGAGCCTGCCTTACGTATTTGGCACCCTGCCGGTACATACGACCATCACCTACCTATTACTTTACAGCACCGACCTACTGAAGAACAAGTCCGCGCCTTGGAACAAGCTCTAATTGCCACATATCATCCACACTTGAATGCCCCTTTCGTCTACACGTTCCTACGGAAATTGGGAGTACAGCTGGAAGCACCCATGGTCGCCACTTTCTTGGAGGGTGGCAACGGTGCTCGTCTCTTACGCGCTCATCATCGCTACACACACTACCGGGATCTACCGGAACTCCTTGGCACTCGCTCCCTCATCGAGCAACGGGAGACCCTGGCCACAATCATACAATATGTCGGCAGCAATGGCGTTCTCAAGTTCTTCTCACAACGAGTTCTACGTCGGAATGGCACTCCGATCGCCTATCTTTACTTACTCGTTCGCTT